TTTTTCGTGAGAAATCATCAATGAAGGTTAGAAAATATCCACTTCCTCCAAGTGATTCTACCTCCATGGGAACTTCTCGCAAGTGATTCTACCTCCATGGGGGCCCACAAATACGATTCCCGAGTGTATCAAACTCCACTTGTTGTCTCTCCTTCTAGAGCTTGTTCAAAAAATGAGACACTGACGATGTTGCTCTCCCAAATAACAATAATCACAAGGGTTTATTTTACCTTTGGCTAATGGTAAAATGAAGGGACTCTTTAGCCAATAGCCAACATATTCAACCCTTTCTCACTAACGTGTGCCAGCCGCCTATGCCACTAATTTGGTGAAGCATCATCTGCAACTGTATTTAGTTGTCCCACACATATTATTGCATGCGTCTTATATAGCGAGCAACACAATTTTCCTCTCGCCACCACCAAAGACCCTTTGGTGAGTTTCCAATTACCGCCACCTGCATGATGGTGATAGCCTTCCTTGTCCAGTACGGTCACAGATAACAGGTTCAACCGAAGATCGGGAATATATCTCACATTTTTAAGTGTTAATGTGCACCCGAAACTTGTCTTTATGCAGATATCACCGATTCCCACCACTTGCAAGACACTATTATTTATTGTGAGACAACTATTATTTTCATTTTTAATAGTGCTAAAAATCTCCTGCAGTTATAAGTGGAAAGTAATTCTTTTTTGGGAACAACAGTGGTTATGAAGCACGCGGAGTCTACTATCCACATCGGTATCTGCATGTTCTCCAACATGACAGCAATCTGCAATGCGATGAGTGAACCTAAAGACACCTCAACCATCTTCGTCCTTAGACTGTAGCAGATTGCATTTCTGTCATTCTCCTGTCTTCGGTCCTGCATTAATCTCTATTTGAGTAAAGCGTACGACAATTTGCTTTTGAAGATGAAACCCTCCTTACCAAGGCAGATGGTTTAACCTTTCTCAATCTTCTGGACTTGGATCTACCACCTGACTTTACATGCCCTTTTGGACCTCTATTCTTGCTCCGGCCACCTATTCTCTGTTGATAAGGGCGCTTTGTGAACTGGTATGGCAAACAATCTCTTTCTTCGTAGTTCTTCATTAAAGTAGTCCTATTCCTTTACCAAATAGACATCCGTTACCACAGCATTTGAGCTGAGTTACTTAATGACACAAAGAGTATTCCTGCTATCCGATAGAGATCCAACATTTGTAAGGCCACGCTTGCATCGCTCGTCTTCTAAGGACATACCGCTAACTGCTGAACTCAGTTACGAGTCGTCAAAATCGTTCAGGTGTTTTTGTGTAAGTTCTGATCGTCCTCTGAAAGCTTCAAGTTCATGACTTTACGCATTGCATGAAGACTTTTCTTGAGCATGCCATAGCCTCGTACATATTCTCAGTAATTTCTTTCAAGAAGAACTTGGGGATCTTTTTCATTTCTCACGTGATTGTACAAGGCTAGGCATTCTATCCATTGGCGTAATTGTAACCCAATTGTCTGCTTTTTTTAATTTCTCCCACTGCCTTGTTCATTTCTTCTGGCTTTAACAGACTGTCACCTTCAATTGGATCGTACCAAATTTGCAATTGAGGTTAGTCCTCGATTCTCTGGATTTTCCACATTGATAATTTCGATTTCCGTCAATTATGAATCATTGCCGGCACCCCGTCCGTTAGCGCATGGTCCAATTTCGGAAATCTGACCAAAATTTTACTAAATTACGAAATTCACTATTCACGTGAATAAGTACTTTGTAGAAAAACTGACAGGAAATTTACCAACCAAAGGCTCTGATACCAGTTGTTTGGGGATTATAACTTATCCGAGTGGGGCCCGCGGAAAAATACCCGGTAGTTAAAAGAGTAAAATAATAATTAACCTGTTACCTACATATACTTCCAATACCACATATACTTCCAATAATTTCGTATTGGATATTGACGATCGAATCCACCAGAAATAATAACCACGGTAAAAATTAAATAATTACAGTAAATGCTAGATGAAAAATAAGAACACCGAGATTTACGTGGTTCACCCTTCAACTGTTATGGGCTACGTCCACGGGACAAAAACTGCGAATAATTCTTCTACTAAAAATAGTAGGTACAAAAGAGATTACAAAATAGTGATACTCTAAATGTTTTCAAAAACACCCCAAAATTACAATCATCACCATTTTGCTCTCTTTCTCAATTTTAGGAACCCTTTCCTAAAATTTTATACGCTTTTTGTATATTTCTATTCTATTTGTTTTTGTACATTTTGGTTTGAGGAAACCTTCTCCTAATAGGAGAAGGGGATGCGTTATTAACGCGTCCACCGAATGGACGCGTTAATCACGCAACCACTTTTTTTTCTTTTTTTTTTTTTTACTTTTTTTTTCTTTTTCCTTTCTTTCGCAGCCTCCTTTGAACAACAAAAATAAACGTGCCCTTTTTTTTTTCTTTGTTCAAACTTGTATGGGTCCCACATGCTAGAGAGATGAGAAAATGCTACCATTGTGGTAAGGAGGGTCATTTCAAAAGAAATTGTCATTTACTCAAATAGGAGCATGCAAACTGAAGACGAGAATGATAGAAATACATCTGCTACAGCCTCAGGAGAAGATGGTGAGGTGTCACTCATGATGCAGATTGCTGTCATGTTGGAGATGCAGATACTGAGTGGATAGTAGACTCTGGTGCTTCATACCACTGTGTTCCCAAAAGGAAATACTTTTCCACTTATAAAGCATGAGACTTTGGCACTATTAAAATGGGAAATAATAGTGTCTCACAAGCATTCTTCATGTCCAACAAATGCTTCAGCAAAACTCCCGCTTTGTTCCAAGACATCTGATGAATTGACATCATAAAAAACTGGCAGAACAACATGGCCAACTGTTTTCCTACGCTCCATGATCATTGCAAGCTCATCCAGGCACCATGTTGAAGAAGCATAGTCTTCTGAAAGTACAATTATTGATACTTCTGATTCCCATATCGCCTTTTCAATTTCTGGCTCAATACTTTCTCCTCTCTTAATTTCATCAACATCTCTGAAAGTGTGAATCCCTTCCCATTTTAAAGCTGTATAAAGGAAGACATGATAAGTTGCTATTGAGGCATTAAAGGAACAGCTTTATCATCACCCCTCGCTGTTGACCACAAGAAACGATAAGCTTTTTTACAAATTAAAGAAACTCTTTAGGCTCCCTCATACTCGCCATTGCACAAAACTAAAATATAATCACTATATCATAATGAATAAGGCCGCATAAGAGATCATTATATAAGAGAAAGACGATAAAAAGAAAAAAAAAAACAAAAGAAAAAGAAGCTTAGATGAGAGCAAAAGAGATAGCAAAAGAATAAAAGTCATTGAAATAAAATATAGCAATATAGCATAATCCCAAAGTAGGAAAACAATGCTGTTCTCCTTCGAGTACGCACCCTTCTGCTCTTTAAAACAAAGTCATTGTCCAGTTGGCTCAGTTATTGTCTTTCAGGTTAGGTATAAGAAACAACATAGAAATAAGCAAACTGAACCCGTATATAGAATGCCAATCCTAAAAGAAATGTGAAGAATATTAAAATATATTGAAAGCATCGAAACCAAGTTTTCGCCAAAGGGTCATAATCCAAATAGCTCATGCCTACATTACCATTCCCAAGCTCAAAGATTTCACCCTTTGAGTTAGAGTAGAAAGACAAACCTTATGTTATGCAAATCTCTCTTCCTTCCTTTTACTTCCTTCTTCTCATCTTTCCCATCTTTTGCAAATGCTGGGGAAATTTTGTTATTACGAAAATTCAATTTTATCATAAACAATTCTACAGACACTTGACATGCCAAATAATTCAACCAGTAAAAGTTATTTCTCCTTGACAGCAATGAAGCCAGAACTGAATCTGAAGTCAAGCAACTAAAAGGCACACTCATCAGACCTGAGAATACAGAATTTAACTGCACCTGTATATGAAATATAAATGCTAAATGCTAGACAGATACAGTAAATGTACTTTTAGGGGTGCAACTACTGCTTTTTGCAGAAGTTCTATTATTATCTATTTAGTAATTTTTCATTTCTTTTTGTAAAATCAAACTTTAGTTTACTTGAGTTACATAAAATAGTTATTGTTTACAAAATATTTGTAATAGATCTATTATTTTGTAAATAATTCTTTTAAAAAAATAAAATAAATGGCAACTTTTGCATTATATTTAAAAATATTACAAAACACTTATTATTTTGTAAACTTAACAAAATATTTGAAATATTAACAAATTATTGGCAATACAACTTATTATTTTGTAAAGGAACATTATTTTTTATACAATATTTGAAAAGAAACTCCAAATATTTGATATTCTTTATTTTTAATGAGTTCTCCATTTCAACAACGATTTCATTAGATACCTCACAGTTGCAATCCTTCTTTTTCCTGATTCAATTTCTCTACCACCATGAAGCCTTGTTAAAATTCAAATATCATACACTTTTTTTTAGTTATGGGGAGAATCCAAGTGCTCTTTTTCGAATCCAGAAAATAGCTTTCAGAAATCTTTTTCTTTTTAAAATAATGATCAACCTATTGATATTGCTGTTAGCTTTTAGCTTTTAGCTAATAATTTTGTAATAGAGTTTAAATTAGAAGTATTTAGTAAAAATAATTATTTAACTTAAAGTGATAAAAAATAACGTTAGTTGTTTAATTAGTTGAATTCTAAGGAAAAAAATGATAGGTATGATTGTCAAAAAAAATTTAATTAAAAGTTAAATGCTAAACGTTTAAGTGTTTGAAGATAGAATTTTAACTTTGTTAAAATACTAAAAATTAGTTCAAAAACTATTGTCAAACAAGACTTCGGTGCTGTATAATTATTTGCTAATTAGAATATGATTTTCATTTTCACGTTGGTTTGCACTCTGCAGTCTCAATCATGGAATAAATTTCGAACCCTTACTTTTATTTTTCTTTTTCCTTTCTTATGAAAATAAATCAACAAAAAACACATTTATTAAAGTATTAATATTTATTCATAACCATAAATAAGATACACCAGATGCGAAGCTCTACATCTTATTATTATTTTTCATAATTTCTTTATTATATATGAGATACGCAGACCCTTCTTCTGATTTGATCCAATCCACCTCTTAGTTCTGCAAAATACAGAACAAACAAACAATCAAACATATTCAATATTTAGAACAAAAAAGAAAATCTGCAACTTAGTTGTTGTAAACCAAAATAAATAACACTTACCTTCTTCCTTCCACACTTCTCATCATCGCTTTCACTGTCACTACTGCTGCAACTGTCACTGTCACTTTGACCAGAAATGCCATCTTTGATCTTTTGGAGCAGACCCCTTCTCTTGTGCTCACCATTGTTCCTTCTTGTCTTTCCATGGCAATTGTTAACATTTCCAGTTGCAAGGCTCTGAGCAGTTTGGCCATGGGTGTGGGTGTGGGTCTTGGTGATTGTGGATTGGGTTTGGCAGTGGGGTGTTTGGTCTTTCTTGAAGACAGAGCTAACCATCTCAGACATTTTATGGCCCAAAGTGTGGTTTTGTTGGTTTTGGTGACACTGGTTGTTGCATGTTTGCTCAGCTGGTTTGTAGCACTGGACTGAGGCCATTGTTTGGACCTAGTGTAAATGTTAAGAAGAAGAAGGGTTGTTTGAACTTGTGTTTGCTTTGGTGTTATAAGGCAAAATTTGAAGCATCTGCATATATAGGATTGGAGTGAGTGGGAGAATAATGCTTTTAGCTTTAATGCATGCTTTGAATCTCCTTTTCTGCAATGCTATATATATATATAAATTCACAAATTCTTCAAGTCTAGAAAATTTGAGAAAAAAGAATATATCTCGTTAATTTTTTATCATAAATTGCTTGTCGAATAAATACCAGTTTTGTTTTATTTTATTTTTTTATATCATTTATTCCTAGCTCATCAATAAAAATATAATTTTGCTCGCATTATATGGAACTCATAAGAGAAAATGTTTTTCAATTATGACTTTTTCATTCACAAGAATTAAATACTTGATCTCTAATTTAAAGTACCTGAATTCTTTTCACTCGGACTAAACCCGATTAGTCTTTTTTATTTTATTTTTGAATTGTTAATGTCATGTAAGATATGGTAGGATATTGAATAAATTATGTATGAATTGAGAACGTAAATTTCGAATCAGGTTTTGGAACTTGAAGGAATTTTGTCTTTTTCAAACCATTTTATGGATTCTTATTGTTTTTTTTTTTTTTTTTTTTTTTTTTAGAATATGGTAGGATATTGAATAAAATTTTATGTATGAATTGAGAACGTAAAATTTCGAATCAGGTTTTGGAACTTGAAGGAATTTTGTCTTTTTTCCAAACCAATTTATGGATTCTTATTGTTTTTTTTTTTTTTTTTTTTTTTTGATTTTATTTTTAAGCGGTTCAAATAGGAAAGAAAATAGATTTCTTTTTTAGTTATTTTTTACTCTAATATCAGAAATGATAAGTCTCTTCCAGGCCCATGGGGATTTTTTTTTTTTTTTTTTTTTTTTTTGATTTATTTTTACGGTTCAATAGGAAAGAAAATAGATTTCTTTTTTAGTTATTTTTACTCTAATATCAGAAATGATAGTCTCTTCCCAGGCCATGGGATTGCATATGCAAATTAGGGTTACTCTTATATCAATAGATAATCAAGAATTTTCAGCTGCCAGTTTTCTATCCAGAAAATCACCTTTTTTTTCAGTGCATTCGATGCGTAAAATTAAACACAATCCAACTCATATAATATATCAAAATTACATAAAATCTTGAAGAAAATGAATCCCAACTACTATTTAAGAAATGATTGTATAGGTATAAAGGAAGTAGAATATTATTAGTTAAATGTTTTATATATATAATAATTATAAATTTAAATTTAGAGGTGTATTGAATTAAGATTGTATTAGATTTTAAAAGAATTGTTAATTTTGATGAAATTGAAGGATTTCCTACGATTTCTACAGATTCCACTAAAATTTTACATAGAATTTTATGGAATTGGTGAAATTTTCTTTTATAGATTTTGATTGGCTTTAATGGAATTACAATGATTTTTATATATTTAATCAAAATTAATTTCAGAACCTAATTGAGCAAATTAAAAGGTTTTTGAGCCAATTGAAAAACTATAAAATAATGAGGGACCAAAAATGCTTCGTCTTCTCAAAAATCGTTTCTTTTTTAGTTAAAACCTTATCGTCGTGGACAGAGAAAGACCTATAATAGTCAGCGTCACAGCTGGCCATCCCGCACCTCAGAACAACCGCGATGTTATCGGAAGATCGCAGGTTTTCATCCCTTAACTGAACAATGACCGTTAGGGGTGAGCAATAGGCGGTTCAATTCAAATTAAATCAAACCGATATTGGAATACAAACCAAAGTTTTTTATCAACAGACCAAACCAAATTGAATTTGCATTCTCAATCGAATTGAACCAATTGGTTCGATCAATTTTGATTGATTTTACCATTTTGATTCAATTTTAAACCCAACCAACAGATTTCTATGAATCCAACACGAACAGAATAATAAATTCAATTCAAACCAAATAAACTGACAACCGAACATTTCCTGATTTAGTTGACCGAATCAAATCAAAATGATTTGATTCAATTTTGATTCGTTTTGGTCAATAAGTTTGCACACCCCTGACGACCATTTAGCTAGGTTTTATAAATTTTATAAGAATATAAATTAAATACCACACAATCTTAATACACTCCAAAAAATGCTAGATCGAATGCTATTAAAATTTTAATAATATTTTTAAAATTTGAGAGAGTACTAATCCAATCCCAACTTTTTGTGACGCCGTTTTCCATTGTTTGCCTACGCACACCCACAAATCCAAACATGATTAGTCTAGACTAGATTCATTCATGGACTCCACAACAGTCAAACCACCACTAACAGTTTTCTCTATTAAAATCGAAATGGAACTTACCATTCAAAAATATCAAACCAGACTCAATTCAATTTGATAGTTTAGTTTTCTACTGTTAAAACAAATTGCTCTATATGCAAAACCATTTCAAATTAAAAAGTTTTGGACCACCATTTTTTTTCAGTTTATTTTGCCTACCATACACCAATCTGAAATAATCAATCATTATTTCCAGCCTTGTAAGCAAAATGTCACCAGCCAATTAAAGGAGCACATACAACAAAATTTCATCAACTCACTTCTACAAATTTAAGGCAATGAAAATTCAAAGTGGAAAGATGAAACCTACAGACATAATTACGCCAAAAGCTATGGTTTTTCATTAGTGATTGCAATGACCAGAACAAACTATTGCCCTTTGGGAAGGAATGTATTATCTACCTATGCCGTTGTACTTGCCAATTCTTTGACTGGTACAATCTTCTGTGGCTGCAGGCACAGGCACAAAAGAAAGGTTGAAAGTATTTCAATATAATAATCTGTCTAATATTCAAAAAATAAAATAAAATACAAGAATCTATCTAGTTAAATAAAGAAATAAAATAAAATAAAATAAAAAGACTAGGTAACTGAACTGCATATTTGCAAACATGCGAAACTGACCCTTATGCATGTTCTATCAGTTGTTTTCCTTCCAGAACAATTGAAACATTATTTTGTTTTACTAGCATGTTAATCAATCTACCATAAATCAATTTATATGCATAAATTAATCCTACAAAACATAAAGTTATGTTCCATAGATCTAGAGGTTATATCTTTCATAACATAATACTAAAGTTGACAAACACTTCTGATTCTGCCTTTTACACCAACAATCCTAAAGAAAAAATGGCTTGAAAAGATTTCAATGATTTTGTCGGTTGTTGCCATGTAAACTGGAGGATGCGGTGCTCATAATAAATGGAAAATGCGATTCTCAACAAATAACTCACTAGCATCTATCATCATCTTACCGCTGCTAACTCCTGCTCATGCTTTGGAATGAAAGCAGTGTCAACCTTGCCATTTTTGAAATCCTGTAAGCAAGGAATATGGGATGATTAATTCATAAAACAAGACCGAGTTGAACAAAAATTCAAGGCCTTCTCAATTAAAAGGTTAAAATAACAGCTTTCATACCTCAATCTCAAGAATAAGTTTATGGTAGTCTATTGTTGTAGGAACTCCTGGAGGGCAAAAGAGAGATTTCAATAGAGTGTAGATACCGAGGATAAAACAAATTAGAGCAAACGGTGAGAGGGATGTGCTTGATGGAATGAAAAGCCTGGCTTTGCAGGCACAACCAGATAGATTAGTAATATGAATGCAGCTGCAAAATACAGCAAGCGCTCACACCAAACCTTGACATCTACTAAACTATTCAAGGAACGCAGAAGGAAAATGTTATGTTTGTGATTTGAATTCTCTTTACCAATTAAAACCACACAAAACAATGATATTTAACTCTCCAGCAATGTCCCTGAAGTTCAAACCTTCAACACTCGATTCTGTCATAATCTAGAGATAGAATGAATGCACTGCTACCATCCTAATAGAATATTGCCATAGACAAGGGCCATGGGAAGGGGAGCATATAAAAACTTGGGACATTTACCTGTAATAATAGTGTCGTCTAGTGCTCTTTTCATGCGTTCAATTGCCTTTTCTCGGGTTGGAGCCCACACAATAAGCTACAATAAGTTGCCAAATTTGCAGAATAATCAGAACTACATTAAAGCCAAAAGTTTCAAAATGATGAGCAGTCACACATCCATGGTAGCTTTGAAGTATAGGTTCAAGACAAGGACCAGAAATCCTAGTTATCAAAGGGTGGAAAAGAAAAAAATACTTGACAAAAATCGGACTCCTATCCTTGTGCAAGATGAAAAGCATCATATTTAACATAGCTTAAGTGAGAAATCAAAGAATGAAATTATTATAGTTAATGAGACATGCAACTTTTTCTGATGCTAGAACCCACGCCATAATCTGTGCTATTTATCCTTAGCTAGACAATAATTTTTTTTGGAAAAATGAACCTCAAAACGTCAATAAACCTATTCTTCAAGAGCTTAGGTCCTTCATGTGCAATTATAATTGCCATCCTGCACATACTGCGATTCCCCATCCCCATCCAAGAGAAGGTAATATTAGAATGCAAATACAAAAGCTCATCCTATTAGGTAGAAAGACTTTAAAGTAGCAATACCAAAGACTACACTTAATAAATAGATGATTCACAAGCTCCCTCTAGACCTATTATGTGCAAATCAAATAGAAGAATTGCAAAGTGGACTATGACAGCTGGACAGCTGGCACTAAAAGGACATTCAAGTATCCAACTGAAAGTTTAAGGTGTTAGTAAGCGCCACATATTTTTAAAAGTCCACACAGATAACCAAACCCTTATACTCACAAATATAAGGATAATAAACAAGAAAAAGAAAAAAGACTATCAGTCCACTATTACAGAACTTCTGCTAGCAGGTGAACAATGAAGGGAGCTTCCATTTCACCCTGCTGCCAGTAACTTAAGTGCCAAAATAACTGTAAATACATTGTGTGAAAAAAGAGGAAAACAAAGGGAGGCCAAACCAGACAAAAAAGTGACTCAGTTATGGGTGTATAATAATACATGCACAAATTATCATCAATGGACATGTACCACAATTGAATCAAGAAGTCAAATATATGCATTGAAACTAGAATGTGGATATGTATTCTCAAAGATTACAGACCTGCACATTAACAGGTGATGACATGAATTGCACATGCATGGATCTTGTGACATCCAAAAACATAAACAGAAACCAAAGCTTTGACAAACCTTTCCCAGTAAAGAATCATAACTTGGAGGAACCACATAATCAGGATAAACATGGCTATCCATTCTAACAAATGGGCCTCCAGATGGCAAGTATGCTGTTATTCTTCCTGTTGTTCAAAACAAAACAAGTAATCAGGACAAACTGAAAATATATGAACCCGTCTTCTCCCATTTCTTTGATTCCCATTGTTTGGAAAGACAGTTATAATTAGTCAACAGATCAAAAGTGTCTTGAACAAACATTTCAAATTTTACCAAAGACAATAAAACCCTCAGTTAATAGGTGATGAAGCAGCCAACCTAGGTGATGAGGACTTCACTTCATTCCAATGCTCAAGGATAAATAGACTTTGTTCAGAAAATGCAATTTATACATACACTGAAGCGATAAGATGAATTAAAGTTTAGGATAATTCAAAGTTATCTCCTTGGCATTTCCTCATAATTAAAAGTTATGACAATTTTATTAAAGTTATAGCCCCTCCAAACTTATGGTTCATGCACAACAAGTAAAAAAGCACGTAAACATTTTGATACTGTTACTAATAATGTTATGATCAATATCAGTTCTAAATTTTAATTATTAAAATGTTATAACAAATATAACAAATTATTCTCATTGCAGGTGTTCACCTCTAATTTTTTCATCCAACTATATTTCTCTCGTTCTCTTCCACAAACGTGGCTTATGCATTTTTATCCTGTATAATCTGAGAGTTCAGGCGTTATGTTGATATTGTTTTACTTTAATAATATATGGGGGGTTATTTAAAAGATAAAGATTTGTGTTTGGAAAATGTTATCCAAATTCAGAACTAGAGTAAACTTTAGAGAACCTTAACAAGTAATCCATGTCTACGATAATAGGATGTAAGGAGCAAATGAATCTTAGAATCAGAAATGGTATTAAGGAAAAAAATGGTAACAACACGTGTGCACATGAACATTTACGTACCTGGTCCAGGTCGGAATCCCTTAAAAGCATCTTCTGCATTGATACGGCATTCAATTGAATGTCCTCTAAGCACAATATCTTCCTGCAAATCATAATGCATTACACTTGATGATTAAATTCTTTCTAGAATAGTAGAATCTAATTTCTTCTTTTCCATTACCTGTTTGTAGCGAAGCTTTTCTCCCATGGCTACACGAATTTGTTCCTCAATCAAATCAACTGAGGAAATCATTTCAGTAACAGGATGTTCAACCTGTGATTTTTTAAGTCATTATTTAGCATAATCTCTGAACAACCTCCTATCAGGCGTCTAAAGTACAGATATGCGCATCACTAAAGAAAGTTCAACCTGGATTCTAGTGTTCATTTCCATGAAGTAGAAGGAACCCCTTTCGTCCAAAAGGAACTCAACCGTTCCAACACCAATATACCCTATGGATGCTGCTGCAGCAACTGCTGCATCGCCCATAGCTTTCCGTAATTCAGGGGTCAATGCAGGAGAGGGTGCCTCTTCCAGCAGCTTTTGATTACGTCTCTGTATAAGAAGCCATATTCAGCACAGCTTATTAACTCCACAAGACACAGAAAATGAAAAGGAAAAGAATCACAAAAGGGGAGAAAGAAAAAAGGTCATTCTTATACAAGTTTGGAGATTACCAGGAACACTAGCATAGTTAGAAAAGGGGGTTTGAGAAAAAAACATACCAGCTATAAGAATCACAACATGCCATAGATATATACATCATTGACATTCAAATATTTAAATGATTTAAGACCATGATTTTATTTTCTGACATTCATGTCAGAAATTCAGAATTGACATTTTCTTTGTTCTTTCAGGCATAAAAACCCTGTAGTCAGTGCATATATTGATATCATAGCAAAATAAGTGTGAAAACTAAAAAAGAGCTGGCAATTGCTACTGAACAGAATTTTACTGTGAAGCAAGATATCAAGAGGCTTAGGGCTAGATGGACTTATTAGTTATCTGTTGAGCGAAATGCATCAACTTAGGCAGGTTCAATAAACAAAATTAAAATGAATTTGCATCTGTTTCTTGAAGTTTACCCCATTTGACTGAACTTTATTGAAGATACAAAATGAAAGGGAATTGTTACAAGCTTATGGTTTTCAGGCTTAAGGCTTTCAAAAATGGGACTAGAACCCAACAATTTGATTCTTTTTAAACATAGATCCAAGTGGATCTCAAATAGGACGTACTTTCATGGATAACTTTGATCCATGCAACATATACAAATAAATTGCAAGGTATATAGTTTCCTAAATGCTGCTAAATGACACTTGAAACTAAAAAATTTGTATGACTTTATGTCATATAATGAACTTGACATTAGATTGTGCAGTCACATGTGAGTAAATAATGAACTTGTGATACAAGCACACTGATTAATTGAGGCAGTTAATAGTACCTGGATACTGCAGTCACGCTCACCAAAATGGACAACATTACCATATTTATCTGCAAGAACCTGCAAAATCATAAGAAAGGTGAATTCAAAAGATAATAGTAGATATTCATCATTTAGAATCAGGCATTATATAAGTTCTGCCATGATTTTTCCTCCTTTTATGCTGTTAAAAGTATCAGCCTAAGTAGAACACTAATTTTTAAGTAGTGCATAATTGAATACAAACAAGATAATTTTTCCTACACAGATAATTTTCAAGTTGAATCCTTTAAGTTATGGCAAAAACAGTTAGCAATTAGAACAAACAATAAGAATGGTGTTCCTGGTGCATGAACAATAAATCAATCCCACCCATGAACCAATAATTGATAACTCTAGGCAACAACTCGTTGAAAAAAAAAAGTACCTGGAACTCGATATGCCTTGGATTTTGAATGTACTTCTCCAAATAAACTCCGTCATTTCCAAATGCTGCAGCAGCCTCACTCTTAGCTTGCTATAAAGCGAAAAAGAAAATAATAAGATATGGAAAAATAAATTCAATTTAGACAATCCAGCATTCACATAATCTTGTAGAAATATTAAAACATAAATATAATAATATAAGCACTCATACTAAGATAGTAGTACCTGGAGCAACTTCACAAACTCATCAGGCTCTTTAGCTAGACGCATTCCACGTCCTCCACCACCTGCTGTTGCCTGCAGATTGTAGAACAGTTGTCAGATCACAGATGCGTCAACATGTTTGTACTTTTCCTACTTCATTTTATTGATATTAGTAGGAATAGAAAAATAAACGTATAGTCTTACAATTAGCAATTCCAAACTCGATTATTACAAAATTTGCTATTCTAACTGTTTTCTTTTCTTTAGTACCAAAGCAAATACAACTAAGGATAAGCTATAAAACATAATATTGCTTCAATGATATTGCCAAATGCAAGTTCCAGCTTTACATGGAATAATTGTAATTTTAAATAAATGAAGAGACAAAGCAATCATATTTGACCTTTATAATATTTTAAACTTCAATCAAGCACCCAAAAGAAAAATGAAAGCACCAACAAAAAAAAATTTGTAAATAAATTGAAATAAGCTCTTCCTCATCCATTTTTCTGCAACAGTTGAAACTTGCAAGTAAGAGCGATGTAGCCAACAAGAATGTTAGTAGAAAGGATATGACTTTTTTTTTTTCGTCATTGCATTTTAATGAGGAACGCCTCCCTGAATTACATGGCCTCAGTATACCATAAAACAATAGAAAATGGTTTAGCAATTCAAACATTATCATAAATGTGGTGTATCTGGCAGTCAAATTGTAACACCTGAATAATTTTGAAAATTAATTACTTAACAAGCATTGTGCATTTTTTTCTTATGCTTTGGTGTTGCCTAGTGAACAGAATGGAGACAAAAGAGTCATATAGCAGACTCTAGTTAGTTGGTGTTGCTATCTTCTGCTTTGCCCTGTTCAATAATATATCAAATGATTTCAAAATTCCCCTTTAAGAAATTTTTTCTACAAGAAGTATTCCAAAAAATTTTCCCAGTTATACTTCGCATTGCATTGCTATTAATTTGATCACAGCGGATATTAGAAACAAATGATTCATATAGCTGAGCCCAACTAGCTTGGGCCTAATCTTAGTTGTTGTTGTTGTTGTGCATTTTTTAACTCTAGGAACCAATTTTTTATGTCATTTGGGACTCACATTAGCTTGTCTTCTAAACATGCAACCACAAAGACCCGTGCACGTGTAGATTGATGGACTCAGTATAGAGTAACCATATGAAATTTTGGTTTTGTCATGATACATAATTAAAGTATAAATTTTCTACGCCCTCAAATTCAAAAAGATATTAATTTGTACCTTTCGCTCAGGATTCCATATAATTGGCATAGGTGACACATGCAACTCATATAAAATTCAAAACACCCTAAAAGATAAATATTGAACTGCCTTCTCAAGTTTGATGGCTTAAGTTTACTATGTTGTCAAAAACAAAAAATTCAGAGGGTAAACACTAAACAGACAGTCCATCCTAAATTGCATAAACACGTACATATTGAGTATTTTGCTGATTTGCAAGGACATGTGAGAAAATTTCCAAATAAAATTATGGGAAGTCTGTAATTCTCTTGTTCTGTAACTAGTAGAGGCCCTAAAAGTGACACAAATATTAAAAGCCCTAACTGTACACTGTGAACAGCCAAAAGCTTTCTCTTTGTTCCATTTTAATCAGCCTATAAATTCATTCTTCCAAAGATGAACATACCTTAATTCCCATCTGTCTTAACTGATACCTGCCCTTTTTCACTAACTACACCATCTAAATCTCAGATTCAAGTTGCTGTCTTGAAGTTCCACATCCAAGTGTGGTGATTATAACTCTCAGAACCAACTTCACTCTTTTAAAACTCATTCATCAAATCCCAATTCAGTCTACAATATCCTGGAACTCCAAATTTTTAGTTTTTATCCTAAATCCCAATTTCATAAAATCCAAACTGACTACAGAAACTACGCCGACTTTTTAAATGTGTCGTAAGTCAAAAATCATATAACCATTGCAGGAAAAATTACTAGCAGAAAGAAATTATTTACCTTGATCATCACAGGAAAACCAATTTCATGGGCCAGCTTGACTGCTTCCTCTGTATTCTGAAATAATAGTCAATATTAGAATCAATTCCAAAGAAGAAAATCAAAAAATAGCAAACTAGATGAAAGTTATTTATGAGGAATAATGCGAACTAAACAATGTAGTTGTTCTACCACCATGGTGCTTGCAATCATAATAGCCAAAGTTGATACCTGTAGCAACCCATCACTTCCTGGTACAGTTGGAACACCGGCATTCTTCATTGTTTCTCTGGCAGTTGATTTGTCACCCATGACTCGGATACTGTCAGGCTGCCATTTTGCGAATTCACATATGTTACTAATTATGGAAGTAAGAAAAATCTATAAGCAAGTGTTTCTAGTAAATAATTTTAATGCATTAAATTATAGTCAATTCTTACAGAATAATGTCTTGACTAACCAGAAAATAATTTTCTCAAGTATATTAAATTTTCAAATATAACACAAATATGGTTCAAAGTTATGCAAAGGACAGCCAAATATTACAATGTGGACAAAGTGCATATTTCTAATATTTCATAATACAAACCAATATGCCTTAACTTTATAGTTACAATAAATTTTCCAAGATACATTTTGATGAAAACTAATCCATATGGTTTAATATTATCTGAAACTAAGCATTAAATTTTTTTAAAAATAAAAATTTGATTTAATATTTATTCATGGATATGATTATCAACAACAGATTATATTAAAAAATAAAATAGATATGTTAAAACATCAAAGAAATTTTCTGAAACATTACATCAAACATTAAAGAATAGCACATCAAATTTCTGAACCTTTTATTCACATATACTAGCTTAGCTCTAGGGAATGAAAGGAAATTTTCTGACTTAATCAATTTCTTGATTTCTACTTACATTAGGCCCAATAAAGTTGATTCCATGTTCTCTACACATTTCAACAAAAACCGCATTCTCAGCAAGGAAGCCATAACCAGGGTGCAACATTGTACATCCACGACTGATAGCAGCCGACAGAACATTTGGAATCAACAAGTAGCTGTTGAGATGCAGTTCAAAGTCAAATATACAATTATTTCCATTATCATTCAAAAGAGTAACACAATTGTGACAAGAATCAATTAAAGGGAAATAGCTGACTGTTCAAGCACCAACTTGCATTTTCTATCTCAAGCACAATAATGTTCTAGAAAAAAAGAAGGCTAAACACAGTGCTATTTGGATCAATAGGTAACATATGGGTGAGGAAAATCAAATAATCTAAACCATGAATACTATTGGACGCTTGAGTTAACTGAGTGCCCCAAAAAAGAAAGACATTAATACAAATAAATACGCTTCTTAATATAGTATTACTATCTATCACTTTATTCAGATAGTTTTTCCTTTCTTTTCTTTTCCTTTTTTTTTTCCTGTGAATATTTATGTTACGTGACCAAGTCATTCTTTTCACCTGATTAGCCCCAACAATGAAATGTACCTACTGATATTGAATTGAAAAAGTTGACGAAAGGAAGTTGCAACCACTTACGACTGACTGCTTGGTGCTTCACCAATGCAAACAGATTCATCAGCCAATTTAACATGAAGAGCATCCTTATCAATAGTTGAGTAAACAGCAACACATGGAATCCCCAATTCATGAGCAGTTCTAATAACACGAACAGCAATTTCTCCTCTATTTGCAATCAAAATCTTATCAGCACGACATTTAACCCCAATAGCACCTCCATTGCTGCTCTTACCTGCTTTATGGCTAACTCGCCCAGCCCTAATTCTTTGTCTGGGAAAGTTAACTTTACTTCCCACCATAAAACTACATTGAGAACTCCCAATTCCGCTACTTCTCCCAGTCAATAAACCCTGCATAAGTTAACTAAAACATTCAGCGATTTATAGATATATAGACGTTTTTGAATCAGAATAACTTGAAAATCAAAACATTAAGACCGAAAAAAGAAGAAAATGAGGAGGAAGGAGGAAAGTAAATTACTGGAGTTGTTGAAATAACAGCAGATTTGGGTTTGCAGATAGGCAATGTGGCTTCCATCGTTGAAATGCAAGCGGAGAAAACGAAGAATTAGACTTACAGAGAGAGAAGAGAGAAGAGAAAAGAGATTTGTATAGTCAACTTAGGTTTTGTTTGGGTCTTAAGATATAGAAGAAGAGGAAAGAAAAGAGGTCGATAGAAACGAGGATAGTAGCAGTGAGAAAGATTGAATGCTCCGTCTGGTTTGGTTGGCAAAGTCACCTGCTTCTGCTTGACTTTATCTACGGTTCTCCATCTCTGCAATTCTGTACAATATACTAAAACCGAATCAATCCCACGGTGAAAAAAACACTTGGGAAAAAAAACGAGTAGTTACTTTGGCGGGGCAGATAAAATAATATTTTTTTATTTATTATTTTAAATACTGAGCTTTATTTGGCCATAAATGGAATCTATGAAATTTTATAATTTTATATTTTAATTTTTATATTAATATGTATAAAAATATTTTTTTTACTCTCGATAAATTTCATTTTGTGAAATTTAACATAAATTAATTGATTATATTATTTGTAAATAAATTTTATATTTTTAACTTTTTTTTACTCTATACTTTACAAGTATAATAAGACACGGAGATTTAGCAATGGTAATATTAAAACTTAAGAGCTTAGTATAAATAAATTTTATAGAACTTTAAGAAATGATTTGTAAATCCATATTTTTAAATTAATTTTGTAATTTAAAATTAGTTATTTAGTTAAATTTACCAAAATTGATAAACTTTACATATAACTTTCAAACTTAATAAGAACATAAACCAATAAAAAGTTTATAAATAAAATTATTTAACAAAATCATTTGCAAATTAGACAAGTAGTTAACCAAAAATAAAAGATATTGCAACTGTTAATTCGTTACACATAATTTATGTTTGTAAAATCAAATTTACAGTGACTTCTGTAATAAATACAGTGACTAAGTTTCATTTTTTAAATACTTTTTAGGTTTAATTATATTCATTTAATTCTATTTTTTTAATTTTTTTAATTTTAATAATTTTATTTAATCTCCAAAGTAATAATAAAAGAAAAGAAAAAGAATATACATATTTTATTTCTGGATCTATTTCAGAGTTCAATGCTATATTTATTTTTTGTAATAACATGTTCTTTGCACCTATCACATGCACATAAAACCGTGTGTATATCTATATACAAATAAGTGAATAAGAAAGAACGGTATCAATTTCAAAGTTGCAATGAAGCCAACTTCAGTATTTCATCAGGAGTAGTAAATGGATGATGGTGTAGAAAATAAACTGAATGTCCAACCTGATATGGTGACAAGTCTCTATCAGTAATATTCTGATGCCAAAAAGAGTTATTTTCTGCTATGCTTTTGCTGTTTATTTCAGTATCCTTCTTATCTTGTTCGTAGACAATGCGAATTCCACATTCTTTCACATAAAAACCAGATGGCATTCGCACCGAAACATTCACTTCATCCCCTACTTCTAACTCATCTCCAAACTTCCAGTAGCTTAGCCATACCATATCCTCATTTTCTTCTGGGATTCCGTAGAAGGTTGGACTATAACTCCAGATTATACCCTTGGTTTCATTATTGATTATAGCATAATGACCAGCAGCATGCAACCAAAATACCTCATCATCGCGTGCATATACTATGCATAAATTTAAACCGCGGATTGTGTGACCAGAAGTTGGAGTTACTGTAAAAGATATTGAGGAGCCTATGCTTTTATGGCTGAACCAGTAAGGAACCTCACTCCCAGCAATGAAGAAGCTGAATATGCCACATTCTTGTAGTACCTGAGCCAGCCATCAACATATCAACTTAAAGAGTTATATTTGATAAAATTAACCAGGGGTCTTTTGGCATTGTTGTTTAAGCTGTAGTTTAGAAAAACATGATGTTGAAATTGTTGATTAGGCTATTAAAGTTGGTTCTTAATGTTGAATTTCACATTTCTGGTTGTAAGAGACTTAGAACAACGAATCAACATTAATATTGTATTTTTAACATCATTTAAAATGGTGCTTTTTCAGAAAAGCAATTTTAACCTCACTGCCAAAAAGTGTCGAAGAATAAAATTGCCATCAAAATAGATAAAAGAAAAATTAAAATAGAACCTGGGGAAGGGTCCTCCTTTCTCTGTTTGCCATGGCATTAAACATTGTCATTTCTATGCTCCCAAGGCATGTCAAGTTGAACAAGCCCAGATTATTCATCATTTCCATGTCCATATTTATGATTGGTTCTATCTTAAACAAACCTTGTACTTCAACTAGTTGACCACAGCCAAAAAGTTCCACCTGCAAGGTTGACAACAAATTTGGTAGATCTGTAATTCTTTCCAATGATGTACAACCCTCTGCCTTTAATTCCTCTAAACTTGTTGGAAGATTTGGAAGAGATTGGAGCTTTGTGCACTTATCTAAGCAAAGGTACTGGAGTGTGGTGAGGCTGTTGATGCTTTCCGGAATGCTATGAATTGGGTTTCCTTTAAGATCTAAAGATTCCAAGGAGCGAAGACTGCTCAGATCATACGGAATAGCGGTATCTAATAGATTGCAGTCTGCTAGACTTAAGTTTATCAAATAACTTGGTAAAAGAGCCAAAGTGAAATTGATTGATTGTGGACTTTTTCTTGGTAATAACCAAGACCAAAAGGTTGAATACCAAGGTGCATTCCTAGATTGTAATGGACTTAAGGCAGTGCCATCTGCATAAAGAACCTTCAATGATTGCATTTTACTCATCTCCTCAGGCAACTGATCGAGTTTTGAGCAACCAATCAAATTAAGTTTTTCGAGAGATTCCAATAAACCAATTTCTGCTGGAAGCCTCTTCAAATTTTTGCAGTCCCTTAAATTTAGCAAAACGAGTCTTTGAAGGTTGCCTATGGATTCATCAAGCTCAATTAAGTTTATGCAATCCTTGAGCTTCAATTTCTCAAGAAAAGGAATTCCAATGAAGTTTGGGGTTTTAACAAGGCTACGGGAATGACTCAGGTTAAGGATTTTCAAGGCAACAAGGAACTGTTGAAAAAAAGAAAGTAATCAGCAACATAACGTGCTAGTTAGCTAGATACATCGAGTGAGAGGTCAGTATCATACCCTTGTTCCTTTCCATGCATTTAGTAGGTTGCTGTTGCGCATATCAAGAACAACAAGCTTCTCCAGGCCAAAATTATTTGGTATAAATTTTAAAGGGAATCCACGCCAAAACAACCATACTAAGCCTTTAGGAAAATCTCCATAGTCTCCACTGCATTTAACATTACTGAGCTGCAGCAACTTCAGTTTGTCTATCCTTGCAAATGCCTTTGTTTTTAGGTTTACTTCATAAAATGATTTACTTAAATCATTATTCATAGGTTTCCAAGGGAAGAAACCAAGGTGACGTCTTTTTGAATCATTTTCTTGGTCAGGAAGGGTTGATTCATGACCAGAATCTTCAAAATGGTTTATTTCAGCATTTGTATCACCAGAATTGTCTTCCTTGAGCATCTGCAGGTTTAGAATAAGGCCCTTCACTGTTTCTGTACCCTGCTTCCCCAAAGAAAAAGTAAAGGATAAAGTGAAAATGGCAGTAAAAAAAACTGATAAGCAATAAACCATTTGCTTATGAATAAATATGAAGTTTTCCACTTACAGTATTTTCTCTTAATACATTGAATGCATCCTTGTTATGCCAAAGTCTACTACGTTTCCCGGGATCCTCAGGTGATTCTTGGCGAACAATTTCTCTTCCCATGTCTCTAACTAATTGATGCATCATCAGCTTGTTAGCTTCATTAATTGTTAAAAGACACCTACCAATGAGATTGTTAATACCAACTACTGTATAGAATTTACAACCGTCTAGTATGCTAAATACATAATCTTTGTCCATTCCAGTGAAGAAACAAGCTACATCAAGGAACAAATTTTTATCATGATCATCTTGTAGAGAGTCAAAGCTTACTTTGAGAATCTTTTGAATTTTACTGTCAGCAATTGCTTCCAACTTTTGCAATGCACTCTCCCATACATCAGTGCTTTTGCCTGAAAGAGATGAACCCAGAACTTGAAGAGCTAACGGAAGCCCACTACAATGATCCACGGCCCTTTTGGATTGTTTTTTGAAATCTTCAGTAGGATGATCTTGTCCAAAAGCATGCCAACTAAAAAGCTGAAGTGCTTCTTTATCATCCAATTCATGAACTCTAAACATATTCCTAACTTCACGAACTCTTAGTAGACGTTCATGTCTAGTTGTTATAATAAGTTTGCTTCCAGGAGAGAACCATTCCCACATTCCAATTATTGCGTTGAACTGGTCCAACTGATCCAAATCATCAAGAACAAGAAGAATTCTTTTGCGACATATAGCATCTCTTATCTTAATAATTCCTTCATCTACGTTATATATTTTGTTTGTTTTGCCTTTTAAGAGATCTGAAAGAAGTTGCCTTTGCAAACGAACCAAACCATTAGATTTTTCAGAAATTTCTCTAACATTTGCAAGAAAGCTTGCACCATCAAACTTGTCATAGTTCTGGTTGTAAACAATTTTAGCAATAGTTGTCTTGCCGATTCCGCCAACTCCATAGATTGTTGCTATACCAACATCATTTGAGACATCTTGTAACCACCAATTAATATCAGCAATACGAGAATCGATTCCAACCAAGTAGGGAGCAACATTCAGCACAATGCGGTTCAGTTTATTTCCAACCTCTTTAACAATATTTTGAATAAACTGTGGCTGATACCTACCAAAGTCAACAAGCATGTTAAAACAATCATATCTTATGTTAGATTATTATGATTTGCACAAGAATGATTGCAGAATTAGATCCTAAAGAGAATAATTGGGCCAGATAGTTCAGTTGAGAAATTTTAAAGTGCATATTTGATAGAATTGAGAGAATTGCACAATAATATATTAGCAAGGCATTTATGGAGAAATGTGAGAAGGTTGCCTACATCATGATGAAAAGAAATTCAAATATGCCAGAAGATTAAAAGAACATCAGTCATGAGAGCTAGTGAATGGAGAATCAGTATGGTACATCATGATTTAATAAGCTAAATGATCAATTTGAGAGAGAAGGCTTAAGATAAGGTTATGTAATACAGGAGATGGATATATACCACAAATTATACACATGTTATATCTTCATCATAAATTGCAGTAATAATATATGGATTATAGAATCTATCAGTTGCGGCCATTCGTAATCATATGTCCATCTACAGAAAAAAGAGATTTTTAAATGATATTCAGCTTTTTTTTTTTTTCAATCCTACTCATATTCTCCAATTTCAGTATGGTTACTCTTTTAATTTTTGTCTTTTCAGTTTTATGGTCACAAGCAGATCATATGTGCTAGAACACAATTTGAAAGAAGAAAAATACTTAGTTGCAGTATAGCCCAAGAATAGAACTCAGTTAACAACGGTAATGGTAAGGTTCTCTACATGCCTTTCACTCCATTTCTGTTAGCACCTCTAAATTTCAGTCATTAATACATAAAATACATCAGTTTTACACAATATAATCACTTAGCTCAGCATATGGATTGCTATAATCAATGGGTACTATACAATTCTTCACCTTTCCTTCATTCCATTAGTCCTATTAATTGATTCTATGTTCTAAAGTTTCACACAAACTTATGAGATGGTTGTATTTCTTCCATTACAAATGTTCCTCATATTGTTAGCCAAATTAAGCAAAAACTGCATGATATCTTCATCACATTTTGATTTTTTTAATAATGTCTTCCTTGCACAACTTTTCTTTCAATCCCACGCAAACGTAAGTACACAATAAAGAAAATTCTGATTCATGTTAAGTTCAATTTTTCTCCTGAATTTAGTTTAGAAAAAAAAAAACTAAAATTCTTCAATTATTTTCAACTGATTTAAAAATGGATTTTTTTTTTTGTGGGGGGTTTTTTTTTTTTGTGGGGGGGGGGGGGGGTTGTTGGGAATGTTTACCTATTTTTCTAATAAGGGGGGGGGGTTGTTGGGAATGTTACCTATTTTCTAAGACCTTCCCTCCCATATCTGCAACTTCTCTAAGAGCTTTTCTCCATCCATCCACCATCTCCATCTCTTCCTTGAAGGCAATTTCATGTCTTGCAAAAGCCGCACCATAGCTTCCAATCTGGTTCCCAACTTGCAATGGATCCACATCATAGAAAACCGGAACCACAATATGCCCAACAGTTCTCCTTCTTTCCATAATCATCACAAGTTCATCAAGGCACCATCTTGAAGAGGCATAATCTTTGGAAAGAACAATAACAGAAATTCTTGATTCTTGAATAGCTTTCTCGATTTCTTGCTCAATGTTTTCCCCTCTTTCAATTTCATCATCGTCTCGAAAAGTGTGAATCCCTGCTTGAACCAGAGCAGTATAGAGATGATCAGTGAAATTCTTGCGGGTGTCTCCGCCTCTAAAGCTCAAGAAAACATGATATGTCCATCGAAACGATGGTTTTGATGAAGAAGTTGAGGGTTCTTGATTTCTTGGTGCAGCAGCCATTTCAAGATACTGGAAAAATCAATGTATTGACATGCACAAAATCACGAAAGAAATAAGAGAAGCGGAATGTGAGCAAGAAAAGGAAAATGTAGAGAGGAATATAAAATGGTAAGAGTTGACTTTGTGAATGAGTTCCCATTTCCAGGAACTTTCTCTAATTCTCTTAGCATGATTTGTAGTTTCTAAGCATTTCAAGAGCAAGATGGTACTCTAGATTCGCGGGAGCTCATGGATAGCTTACAGGTCACAAGTAGTTTTCTCAAGTCGCCAAAACCAATCCAAACTGAATCAAACCTAATAATTATAAACTAATTTCTAAAAAAACAAAAATAAATCCTAAAGTAACTTTAGTTAATTAATAAAAGAAATTTCAACTTAAAAAATATATATATAATTTTTAAGATTTTAAATATATATCTAATATTTCTATAATTTGATTTAATATTTTCAAAAATTTTTAAAATAAATAAATACATACAAATAATTAAGCTTTTAAAATTTTCAAAACTTTACTTTTTAAATTTATTTTTTAAAATAAATATATATGATAATGAGCCAATTGAAAATTTAATAATTTTTTTAAATTTATTTTTTAAATGTGTAATTTTATTATCTAATGTAATTAGAAAGATATTATTTGGAGAAATACACAAAAAAAGGCACTCTTTTAATAATAATTTAAAATGTAATTGGAGATATTTTATTTTAATATTTTAAAAAAAACATTTTTCAATATATATAATGAAGCTTTCAAAATTTTTATTTTTTTCAAATTTATTTTTTAAAATAAAATAAAATATTTTTGAAACTTTTACTCTTTTTTAATTTGATTCAGTATATTTTTAAAAAATTTATTAAAATACATAGATAAATACATATAAATATTTAAGCTTTTTAAATTTTTACTTTTCAAATTTAACTTTTAAAATAAATATAGAAAATGAGGGATTTGAAAACTTTTTCAAGATTATTCTTTGAAATAGTAGTGAAACCGCACTTCGGCGTGAGTAGTAATATATTATTTAAATAATTATTTTTATTGAATTATACTACCAATTTTTAAAAATGTTTTATTTATAATTTGATATTGAAACTAAGAATATAATAATATTTGAAAATATTTTAAATAAAATCTGAAAAAATGTGTAAATCCAGATTATCATAATAATTATATTAAAAAATTATTTATCATATATTTTAATTTGAAATTATTTTTTAAATAGTTCATATTGTTAAAAATTAATATAAAATTAAATTAAATATATAATATATGGGTATTTACATTACTAATTTTTCTTTACTTTGAATAGTTCAAAAACTTATTTTTAATTTTATTTGTTTTTACATATTAATTAGTAAATCAAAATCAATATTAGATTACAAAAGTTATAATTATTATTATCTTTTTTTTTTCAAACGGACCATTGTTATTGTCATTGAATATTGTCATTGAGTGATAAAATAATAATATAGAAAAATAAAAAGAAAAATTAAAAAACATATAAAAATGTAGAATATTAAATAAAAAGAAAATCATTTTATCAATATGGAATCAAGATGTGTAGTTCTTCTTGTTCTAATTCTTTGTTTTATTAATATAATGTTTCTTTTTTCGAATACCTCCTAATGAATAATTAATCTATACTATTAATTAATTCTTAAGTTAGTGAAAATTTTGTTAATTTATGCCTTTTAAATTATTCATTAAGAGTTTCTTTTTCTTTGGTACTTGTAGAGGATAATGCAAAAAATAAAGAAAAATTCAAAAATTTCTAAAAAAGGGAAAATATAATGTTGAACAAAAAGAACGCCTTAAAAAATTTTTTCTTTGTTTCAACTCTTATATATATGTGTGCGCTTTTCAAATAAATACATGCAGATATAAGCCATCTGAAAATTTTTATATTTTTCTTTTTTTTTAATTTATTTTGAACAAATATATTTAGATAATTCGGATTTTGATTTTTTTTAATATATATTCATACTTTCTAATTAAATTCTTTTATGTACTATCTTTCTTCTTCTTTAAGATATAAGATTTCTTATAAATCCATGTTTCATTTTATATTTTATATATTTTGGATGAATTAATTTTCGTTATAAGTAATTAGCTTTCTATATAATTATTTTGTTTCTCTTCAATTAATTACATTAACATAAAACGAAATATTCTAATAACTTAAGTAAAAATAAAAACTGAACTTTAAAGTTTTTTCGTAATTTCATTATGAATTTTTGTTTTACTTATTTTATAAATCAATTTTTTAAGAAAAAATTATAATTTTACAACTAATCTTAATTTTAGGAAAAATTATTTATGTTTTTATTAATAAAATGAAAATAATATTTAAAAAGAAATTAAAATTTGACTTTGATTCTATGAGATCTTTAAAATTTTCTTTCCATTCTTCATTTTATTATTTTTTTACATTTTTTTTTACTTAGTGCTTTTTCTTTAGTTTTTCTTTTATGTTTTTATTTTCATAATAATCATATAAATTTTTGTTATTTCCTATTTTTTTTTATTTTTTATTTTTTTTTACAAAACGGCAGAAAGATCAAAAGGTGACTAAATATAAGAGTTGTAAAATAATAATATTGACACAAATTGATAATATGTATGCTCCGTTTGGTATAAATGAATTTAAAATGTGGAATTCATTTGTGAATGAATTTTCATGTTTTATATAATTAATTTAAAATATGCAATTCAATTGAATTTCACATAAATATGTATGGAACAAATTCATAATTTGAAATTCATTTGCTTTTGTTTCGTAAAATATTCTTGAAAAAATAATTTCACAAAAAAATAAATAATAAATACCAATTATATTTATGTTATGCTATATTTTTTATATTTTTGTTACAATAAATATATAAAATAAAAATAATATTTATAAAATTGTTGCATTTAATTTAGTGATAAATGGATATTTAACTTGAATCTCTCCCATTGATCGTAAAAAATGCTAAAAAATATAAAAATAAAAGATGGAAAAATATTAAAATATAATAAGAAAAAAATTTTCTAAAAAAATAAATTTTGGTCAAATTTGATAAAATAAATAATTCAAATAAGTAAAAAAAAAAATTAAATTTGACTTTGTAGATAGAGAAGGGTAGTTTTGACATAAAAAGTTGATTTCTTAATTTTATGGAACTCATTTGGAAATTCTACCTATTTTTGTGGAATTTAGTATAGTCATATATGATTCCATGGAATTGAATGCCTACAATAGCAATCTACATTTTTTTTTTTTGATAGATTTCTAAATGAATTTCTAAATATGAATTTCTAAATGAATTCCACAAAATTTGTGGAATTCATTTGCTCTAAACAAGGGGGAATGACAAATTTTTTTTTTTTTTTTTTGAATGGATCAATTTGTTTAGTAGAGATGGTTATTTGAAAAAAGAATATGTAAAATTATAAATTAATAATATTAGTAAAAGGTCATTCAATTTATTTTACTCAATTTATTCTTTGTTTTTTTCCTTTTCATGTGGATTGATATTCCAATTCGATGCTATACTACTTCATATTATAAATAATAAATAAATAAATATAAACAATAAGTAAATGACGAGGAATAATGTGTAATGCTTTATAATTTATTGAAAAATTAACTTTTTATACCATTTATAGCATATTGGGTATTTTATTTTTTTGTACAAATTCAAAAGGTAAATTGTACGAAAAATTACTTTTTGAACAAATTATATGTTATGCGCAAATTGAGAGAACAAACTTATTCTTTATAGAAAAACTAGTTATTTATAATTTTCTATAAGGAGAGCATATACACTGTTAGTGGCGAATCCACGTGGTGAAAAGAGGGGTCAATTGTCCCCTCTTTTTTTGAGAATTTTTTTAATATATATTGATATTTCCAATTCGATGCTATACTACTTCTATTTAAAATTAATAAATAAATAAATATTAACAATAAGTAAATGACGAGGAATATGTGTTAATGCTTATAATTTATGAAAAAATTAACTTTTTATACCATTTATAGCCATATTGGGTATTTTTATTTTTTGTACAAATTCAAGGTAAAATTGCTACGAAAATTATTTTTTGAACAAATTATATGTATGCGCCAAATTGAGAGAACAAACTTATTCTTATAGAAAACTAGTTATTTATAATTTTCTATAAGGAGAGCATATACACTGTTACGTGGCGAAATTCCACGTGGTTGAAAGGAAGGGGTTCAATGTCCCCTCTTTTTTTTGGATTTTTTAATATATATATATATATTATATATATATATATAATATCATATATAATCTAAATTAATCTATAAAATTTTAATTTATTTATGTTTTCAACCCTTTTAAAAAAAAATTATATATTGATCTAGAAAAATTAATTTTAGATCTGCGTCACTATATGATGTAATACCCCGAATTTTTAATTTTTCGAAACTTTTGAATTTAATTTAATCAAAAATCGAAATTTTCCACATGTGGGGCTACAAATATGAAACACAGTCTCAATCAAGCCCACTGTGATATATGGGCCCAAGCCCAAAATTGTATTATCGGAACTTTTGATTAGAACATTTAAAAATATTCGAGAAATAATATGGAACTTTGGGCTACTAATTTATTATAAGAATATGATCATATAAATTAATCATTCCTAAAAATCAAATATTGATACTATTATTATGGACCTGAACTAAAACAATCAAAATTAATTCGAACCGGATCCAAAATTAATTAATATGTCGAAAACCACACCGCAATAATCTAAAAACAGAGTGAAAAACTCGAAAACCAAAAGAAAATGAGACCAAAATTACTAAGTCGACAAACCAGTTCGAATCAAACCGAAATGGTCTAGAAAGGCAAACAGAATTTTTTTTTCTTTTTCTTTTTTCTTTCTTTCTTTTTTCTTTTCTTTCTTCATCTATTTCTGTACATCCAGCGCAGCGACAGATGTCTCGCCCATACTCCGTTAAGCACACTCACAGACTCCCCGGCACCTCTGTTCATATCACCAGCACTATGCACTGACCTCGCTCGCCAAACTGCACCCCTATATACCCTGTCTCACTCATAGTCTTCTCTCGTCTCTCTTCATACTCTCTCCTCTACTCCTATCCTTTGACTCTCCATCTCACAGAACAAACTCTCTTGTGAGACCGAGTGATAGTACGACATCAATAGAGCGTGCGATTGCTGTCTCTCGAGCCAACTCCCTCCAACTCTCGCTCGGCCGATTATTCGTTTCTCTAATCTCTGAGTCAATAGATTTCTATATACTTAATTTGTGTAGATATATGGGAATATATATTCATGCTAATTATCATTATATGATATATGATTCAATGAGTAGTATAAAATAGTTTTGCCACTTGATGAACTCTATATGGATATTGCTCTCTCTGAATGTTGATATCGAACGTATAAATATTATTAATGAGTCTCGAGATTGGTATCCAAATTCGGCCATCCGCTGTAGGCGGCGTACTGAGCATTGCCGGGGGCGTGCGTGACAAAATAATTAAGAAGAAGAATGTTTTTATTTTTGATGAGTAGTATTTTATTAAGTGCTCTCCTCGTATTTGTTATTCCTCGGATGTACAAAAGTCTGTGAAACGTGACCCTACTAACGTACGGGAAGGTACTGGTGTATAAAGAGTAAAAATAGTAGGTTTGAACATTGTGCTCTCGGTACTAATCTCCAAATTAATATTCATTATCTAGAAAGTAAACACATAACATAAATTAAGGTTAAATCTAAAATAAAGCATTAGTTAGTCGGCAAAATAATAACCCTTTACCTCTAATTGTTGAGCAGAGTTCAATATAATGTAGTACTGTAAATATATAGCTTCGAACTCTGCTCAATACTCTCACTGACTTCAGATAGATACTCCACTGTAATGGTACTCGAATAGTCATCTCTCGAAGAATTTGACTGTAAATATATAGCGTCACAGCAATTATTAGTCTCCAATATATATAAGTGGATTGGATGATAGCAATTGAGTATTAGACCTTATAAATCGTTTCTCTCTTCTCTGAATATTTGACATAGACTATGCACTAGCTCTTGAATCTCGACTTGCATGCATATTGAGTATTAATAATAACATAGAAAACTAAATAATGTCCTCTGTAAATCTCGCCAGAAAATTCTTTAAGAAAGCTGTAACTCAGAAAGAAAAATAATAATAATTAACGGATTAATAATCTACTGACTCATGTGGAAAATTTAATGAATAGAGACAGATAGAACAGATCGCTCGCTGATGACAGGCCGATAAAAGTGCCTATATAAGATGAATGGTCTAGAGTGGACGGCACTCTGATTATTATAATGATTATATATAAGAAATGGATCGCGCATATGCAAAAAATTATAAAAAATTTAATAAGTAAATATATATATTAGCACGCATAGATATATATATATATATGGAAGTTACGATTAATATATATAATATAATATTATTAATATATATATATAAATTATTTATTATCTCACTTCATCTCCTCACTATATATATATATATATATATATATTACATTATATAGAGATATATATATATATATAAAGTGAATATATATTATATATATATATATAATAATATATACATATATGATATAAATTTATTAAAAAAAGTGAATTTAAAGACTGATAACATATAATATATATATATATATATATATATATAATAATATATATATATATATATATATTTTAACTTGTTATTTTTTAAGGTCTATAAATTCCGAGCGAAGGAAAAAACGGCCCTGGAAAATGGATAGATATATACAGATATACATATATAAGAGGACGCACTCAATGTAATAAGATATAAAACTAAAATAAATAATCGGCTATAGATTCCTCCGCATTAGAGATATAATTATAGGCAATGCTTTAATATAATTTGTATAATATACCATAATATATATAATATATATACATCTAGTTGATTTAAGATTTATTTATATATATAGTAACATATAAATAATACTTTAGCATATAGTTTGTGATGGAAAAAACAATTAGGAATGAAGTGGACCAACATAGAGAGAATATGTGAGGAATTGGCTAATATGGATCCTGATATGAATGATAAATAAATATAAATAAGACGGGGAATAGAGATATACGCGCCATATAGATTAGCAATATAGGCATATATAGAAACAGAGAATTATATACTTGTTGATACTATAATATTTATATATACCGCAGATACACATGATTTGTGAGATTAATAATGATTCTATAAAATAGACGATATGCCTTATATATATATAGAAGAGAAAAAAGAGAGAATGGAAAAGCAATGAGAGGGAACTGGTCAGTAGAAGATTAGACATATAGGGATATGGGATCGGCTCCCTGGTGCAACATGTAATGAGAGAGGCAGCCAATGTGTGAGGACTGCTCTGGGTTATATTAGGTTGGGTAGACCAACTGAATAATTACGTGATGTATATATATTGAATAGTGATAAATATTGTGGTTTGCTGTATGAATATAATAGCCATATTGATGTGAACACTCCAATGAAATCATAAATTTATCGATAGAACAAATAAATAATATTAGCATCTGTATGAATATTGTAGTGGGGTGAGAGAGGTATAATCTAACACTAATCAATATAGAAGTTTGGCGAACATCACCCCTGGACCTAACCCTATATTAATTTTTTATATCCAAGTAATAGAATATATATGGATATAGAAATAAAGGTAATAAGATAGATAGAGATAATATAATAATTGATAACAGATGAGATATCACATGATCATATATAGATAGAAAAATAGTAATAGAACAATTATATGGGTTGTAAATGAACTGTATTAGTGATACATAATTGAAATAAATTATTGGGCCTGTATCCACAGTTATGATTGTGGAAATGAGGGTTGCATAAAATAGGCTTACTACGGGCTTTGGGGGCCTTAAGCCCACCCAGGTCCTAGTGCCGGTCCGGTCCATGGAAATGGGTCGTGACAATATACTACTCGCCCTGTTCCATTAAATTTGTTAGTTTTTTTTTTTACTTTTTACAAAAATTAAGAAAATAATTGAATCATCTCAATTTTAGAAAAAATATTAATAACTGACTAATTTATCCTTTTAATTAATACTCAATTAATTGAGATAAAATTTAGTGCAAATATCTAAAATTAGAAGGAAATATGGTGATTTTGCCTTTTGAATTTGAACTTGAATTATATGTTCAAAATTAACATTTTGACCAATTTCCTTCAGAACTCATCAAAAGAGACTCAATATTCTATAAAAAGTATGTAAGTGCGAGTATGAAAGGACCTAACTTGGTTCATGTTGCTATGATATCTAAAAACTTAGCAAAACAAAAGATTGCAAACTGCTCCATATTCTGAATCACCAAACAAAACAAAACAGCCTCTTTTGATAAGTTATGGAGGAAATTGGCCCATAAAGTTAATTTTTGGTTTTTAAGGGGCAAAATAGAAATGAGCATGCCAAAAGACTGTGGAAAGACATGATAAATAAATCAAATCAAATAATTAAAATACGATAAACCTAGCTCGCACTAGTTAATAATGAATAATGGCAAAGGAAAAACCAATCAGCGTTGGTCGAAAGAGGCAAAAAGCAAAATCGAAATAGAAGCCGTATCCAGTAAAATTGAAAGACGCAAAAAGCAAAACTAATAAAATTTATCTCTAAATTATATTTTAGTATCTGAATTTTCACTTTTTTTTTTTTGATATTTTATTTTATTTTGATATTTTAATAGAAAATAATATCGATTGAGTATTTTAATTTGTAAAATTTTTATAATTAAGTGTTTTTGGATAACGCGGCAAACTCGAAAAATGATCCTGCATGTGCTGGATCCAGTTTCTATTATGTAGTAGCTTAATTATCGGGCAGGGGCTAGAATATTTGCCAAGCAAGCCACTTGTCACATGGAAACCTCGAAAAATCTCTATTATGACCTCTTTCTAACAATCTCATTCTCTTTCTTGTTTCATCCGGTCCACATCTGAAAACATCTTTCATGGCAAACTAATTTATTTTTTTCTTTATGAACTGCAATTTATTTTCCATGTCTTCTATATCAAATAATCCACCTTCTCCAAAACGAAGAAATAACTCAATATCATAACTTCAACTTCTCAAACCTTTTTGCTTTTCATAATCTCTCTTTGTTTTTCATGATTTATGCCTTCTCAATTCAAGAGAGTCTGCTATGATATATTCTGTATAGATACTTAAAATTGATTTTATCATGTGAAGGATTCAAGATGCTGTTGTGGGGAAGGCATTGGGGACTTCAAAATAATGGCTTTTCTTGTCAGTAGGTCAATATTGATTTGAAAAATAGAAATTTCGAGAGCAGTAGAGACTTCAAAGTAATGATTTTTCCTCTCAGTATGTTAATATTGATTTGAAAAATAGAATTTTTTTTTTTTTTGTTGATTGTGTGTGCTTCACGCACCCTCTTCAGCCAAATAAATGGCTATTTGAACTATTTTTTACAAGTTATGAGGTTTTTGACTAAAAAGTTCATATTGAATAACTAATGGAGGAACAGGACCTCACTTCACTAAACCAGACACAGAATTAGCTCTTGCTAGAGAATGAACACACTGATTCGTTGATTTCTTGGCAAACAAAAGTGATAGCAAATTGACCTCATTAAGTAGAGTTCTACAATCATTAATTAAGTAAAGACTAAAAATAAGAATAATCTGAAAAAGAATATCTAAATGCTTGCATAGCAATCTCCATATGCTCAAGTGTTTCCTTTACCCTTCAACCAACTAAGTATTAGCACATGTGTCCTTGACCTGCCACAGCTTTGGTGTAGAGATACTGATTTTCTATTCTTTGATTTTGGTTTCTATTACAGATTTTCTGCGTGTTTAAATTCAAATAAATCTCCTCTATTTTAGGAGATATTAATTGTTACTCTTGTATGTAAATTTAGTTCAGTTTCTCAATAAAATCATTAAGTCATTTCTGAATTTTTCTTTGTTTATATGGTATCTGGATTAGCTCTAGGGAGTAACATTCTCTGAATATCCAACCCAATCTAATCAAACGGCCTCCAATGAAGCCACTCATAACTCCCTCAAAAGCACATCCTCCACCACCTAACCAAGTCCCATGCAAATAGTGTAGCAGCCAACCCACACCCACTCTTGTAAAACCGTCTCAATATACATGAAGCTGGTACATGTTTTTGTGCCCAAACTGTTTCTATTCTACCAATGCTCCCAAGCAAACAGTAAAAACTAAACATAGTTTTTCCTTTCATACTTAGTTTTTGAAAATAGACTGCGTTTGGTCTGCAGGACCATCAAATTCGCTTAAAGCCTAACCTGAACCTCTATCCTTTTTGGGTGCAGTGATCAAAGTCGCTCAGAGCTAATACGGTAAAAAGACCCGCCAAAGAATATCACAAATGAAATTCATTTTTTATAGATGTTCTCTTTCTCCAAATCTACGAAGAAAGATACACAGTTTAGATCGCATGGAACATAAAGCACGCATTTGTTCACATAAACCAGAACTTTCCCCTCTCTGGTTCTCGAATTCAAGCAATATGTCGAATGCAGATGAACCGTTCGATGAAACGCCTGAGTTAGATGTCATTTCAGCGACAGCTTTAATTGGGCGGTTTTGTAGGCAAAACCGATATAAAGAAGCTGTCTATTTGTTCTCAAGAATGATTTGCCTGAATATTAGGCCGAATCAGTTCACTTTTGCGTCTTTAATTCAGTCTTCAACTACAATACAAAATTTTCATTTAGGTAAGCAATTTCATGCATCTGCAATCAAGATGGGTCTTTACTCCATTGTATTTGTAGGTAGCGCAATGCTAAATTTCTATGCCAAATTGAGTTCAATTGATGAAGCTAGGAAAGCTTTTGACGATATTCAGAACCCAAATGTTGTCTCTTATACAACTTTGATGCATGGGTATTTGAAGAAAGGAAAAATTGGGAATGCTCTTCAGTGTTTCAAAGAAATGCCCGAAAGAAATGTTGTGTCGTGGAATGCAATAATTGGTGGATGTAGCCAGATGGGTTGTAATGAAGAATCTGTAAATCTTTTTGTAGAGATGCTGAGGGAAGGGATGATGCCTAACGAATCGTCGTTTCCTTGTGTAATTAGTGCAGCTTCAAATATAGCGGCACTTGGAATGGGAAAAAGTTTTCATGCTATTGCTATTAAGTCCTCGTGCAACTTTAATGTTTTTGTTGGCAATTCTTTGGTTAGCTTTTATGCAAAATGTGGATGCATGCAAGACGGTCTCTTGGTTTTCAATGAACTTCCTAATACGAATATTGTCTCTTGGAATGCTGTGATATGTGGTTTTGCACAGAATGGAAGAGGTGAGGATGCTGTAATTTTCTTTGAAAGGATGAGAGCAGCAGGTCTGAGACCTAACAGTGTTACAATTCTTGGTCTTTTATGGGCTTGTGATCATGCTGGTCTTGTTGACAAGGGTTATTATTACTTCAATCAAATAAGGGTCGAGGAACCCAATGTATTAAAACCTGAACATTATGCATGTATAGTTGATTTATTCTCTCGGGTTGGTCATTTGAAAGAGGCTGAGAGGCTTCTTCATGACTTGCCTTTTGATCCAGGAATTGGGTTCTGGAAAGCATTGCTTGGAGGCTGCCGTATCCACTCAAATATGGAATTGGGTGACTTAGTGGCAAAGAACATCCTGGCTTTAAATCCTAAAGACGTGTCATCATACGTAATGCTGTCAAATGCCTATTCTGCTGCTGGCAGATGGCAGAATGTGTCGATAATGAGGAAACAAATGATGGAGAAAGGATTGAACAGGGTTCCAGGTTGTAGTTGGATTGAAATTAAAAACAAAGTTCATGTCTTTGTTAACAATGACAGAAATCACCGCCAAAAGGATGAAATTTACAGTTTCTTGAAGTTTTGCACTGAAAGGTTAAGAGAGATTGGTGATTGCAGATTGTTAGGGGAGTTCTAACTTAAGATTTTTTACCAGTTATTTATATGGGAGAAAAGCGATTGAAGTGGTTCATTTTGGAATGAAATTACACATGTATAAAGGGGACTAAAATCTAGTTCAAGCTTAATCAAGTTGAGTTCACTGCTTTTTGGCTTGAAACTGAAAGCATGTACTATGATCAAGTTATTCAGATTGGTAGATGGTTTTCTAACTCCGGTTTGCAATTCAAGAAATTTGGTTTTGCTGAAAGACAGGAAGCAAACCAGTTTTGTGAGAAAGCTTTGATTATGTATTGATACTTCGCTTTAAAGGATGAAGCTTGGTTTGAATTGAAAGACAGGTTGCTGTTCCTAACATCAAGGAGATCAGCCAATGATCCAGGAACCGCAGGCTACTCAATTGGGCTCAATCCACTGGGCCACTACAAATCTTTGTATGCAAAAGTAAACACAATTATTGGCAAATTGTCTCATTTTGTGAATGCACTAAACTATTGTTCGATCAAAGATGAGTATTCTTCCAATGTATCATTTTTGGGTCCAATGGAATTCATATGTATAGGAAGAAGCCCTATTGAATAGAGATTTTTTCTTTCAACCATCTTAGATATATATTGCCTACTTTGCGGCTGATGTATTTGATCATTCAGGAATGCAGAAGCGCCTTGCTTGTCCATTCTATCTTTAGGATATAAACTGAAGGTAGATAATATAAGAAAACATTATTGGCATTTTGTATCTAAATATTTTTCTTCTTGGACATCAGGGTGTCAAATGCTTTTAGTTATTGTCAAGGATTCACTTAATAATTTTGTTTCTCAGTTTTCATTAGCTTAATATCTTGAATATTTTCCTAGAAAAAGACCTCATGTTTGGCGTTTCATTTATTTATTTTTAAATTTCTAACTTACATTTAATTCTAATATTAAATTGTAGATATGAATGTAGTTTTAACGCAATGTCTGTTGATGTACTGGTATAGAACTAGCGCAGATAGAGTTGTATCAAGAGCTTTTGGTGATGCTAGGTTTAAGATGAAGAAAAATGAGTTCAGTCCCTCGTTTCTGTTTGATTATCATTATTGGCCTGGCTGCTCCAGACGTTTTTCAGTTTGATCAAACGATAGATTGGAGTTTGATGCATGAAGAATGTGTATTAAATTTTATTAGCAGCATGTGTAAATGATAAGCTTTCAGTTCTAGAGTCTAAAAGATCGTCTTCTGCCGAAAATTGCAGCAGATAAGCTTTTAAGTATCTGTATCATGTATAAATTGTATATATACAAACAGAAAATTTATTAGTTTCATTATTGTGATAATGATATTGTAGTTCTTGTATTAGAGATGCAAATTAATGGATTCTAAATGGTAGTTGTTATCTCAAAGTTGCTAATCTGTTTGCATATTTCACTGTCCATTTTCTGTAATCGCATGCATTTTTAGACCTCAAAATTAAATTTTTATAGGCCATCACATTAGAAGATGAACATGACCACAAGAAATATCAATAAGCATATATAAATAGGAACACCCCAAGACCGTGTTTGGTTGGTTATGGAATTGTGAAAGGAATGAAATTCTTGGAACATGACATGATCCCTAATTATGGTTTATATTTTTATGTTTGAACAATGTCAACTTATATTGTTTTCTCAGGAAATAAAAAAAATTGTACTGAGACGATATTATTTTTTAGATAAATAAAATATTGTGTATATATATTTGTCACGACCCATTTCCATGGACCGGACCGGCACTAGGACCTGGGTGGGCTTAAGGCCCCGAAGCCTGTAGTAAGCATATATTATGCAAACTTCATTTCTTATTCATAATTGTGGATGCAGGCCCAATAATTTATTTCAATTATGTATCACTAATACAGTTCATATATTTAATATGAACTTTTATTATTCATTTACAACCCAACTGGGATCCCTAATTATGGTTTATATTTTATGTTTGACACATGTCAAACTTATATTGCTTTTTCTCAGGAACATAAAAAAAAAAATTTGTACTTGAGCACGATATTAATTTTTTACGGATTAAATAAAATATTGTTGTATATATATTTGTCACGACCCATTTCCATGGACCGGACCGGCACTAGGACCTGGGTGTCAGGCTTAAGGCCCCCGAAAGGCCTTTGCTTAAGGGCTAAGCATATATTATGCAAACTTCATTTCTTATTCATAATGTGTGGATGCCAGGGCCCAATAAATTCTATTTCAATTATTTGTATGTCACTAATTACAGTCATATATTTAATTATGGAAACTTTTATTATTTCATTTACCAACCCAAACCTGGAACTACTAACCATTGCGGGGAAACTCTACTGTTTTACATTTACTTCATTATTCCATCGGCTAACAGAACAATCTTCTATATTTAATTTCGACTCGGCTGGGTCCATAGGATTTTTCTTTCTTCCTATTACCTAAAAAAAAAAATAGAAGGCAGGAGTGAACGCCAAACTCAATGAGTAGAGTTAAATAACCCTCTCACCCCACATAATCATACAAATGTTAAATTTAATCAAGTTAATTACTCAACTAGCTATATGATCATGCAGTTATACACACATATGACATTACAACAGCAATCACAAATATTATCATCTTCACATAATCACATCACGTGAAAATTAGTCAGTGGCATCACCGAAATCGCCGATGAGCCGTCCTCCCACAAGGCCCATTCACTCATAATGTGTGCACCAGGGAGCCAATCCCCCATACCTGGCTGACCGGTCTAATCCTCACTTGACCCAACTGCGTTCTTCTAAGTCCTCAGCTGACCAGTCCTCTCCATTTGTTTTTTCCATTCTCTCTCTTTTTGTTTTAATATTACCCGCACAGGAGGCAAACTCAGTGGTCTCTATCCAATCGTAGCATCATCAAAGTGCTCACAACAGGAGGCCACCCTGCGCGGCCTACAATCCAAAATCTAGCATTATTAGTTGTGCCGCAACAACAAGAAGCCCATCCTGTGATTTTCCCATATAATCCCATTATTCATCAGGTGCACACGGTGGGCGCCCGATCTCCCCATTTTACCCGGCTGACGGTCAAATTCCCATAATCATACTCCATTATTCAGGGAATTCCATATCACACAGGACCGTTCCTCACAAAACCCATGCGTGCGTCTCACTTCAATCCCAATCCACACAAACAAGGCATGAGTATGCTTCATAGCACAAGTTAATCAAAACAATTTTTCAAATATCAACAAACTAGTTGCACTTTCTCATAATATGGCAACTTCAACAAAATAAATTGCATTTTGATTAACATTTCAGCCGTGAAATGCCATTGAACTGCACGCGTGCGATGATACTAAGCTTATCTTAACCACCTACTCACAGTTCTTTATTGTCCTCTAAGGGCCGCACTGCCTTCTACGCCACGCTGCTTCCAGCCTTTTGTACCTCGCAACTTTTTCGGATATAAACCTCTCAAAAACTAAACAATAAAATTCTAAGTTAAGAATTTAAATTTGAAGATTCTCTATTTCATCATCTCGCTTTATTAGTTTTTTTGCCGTCTACCAGGTCATATTAATTCACTTATTAATTTAAACTATATATATATATAGTATATATATATATTATATATATATTATATATATATATATATATATATTATAGATATATATTGGCATTTCCTTATTCTATTCTTAAATTTATCGCCCTTTCAGAAATAAAACGCTTTAGTTATTTGTTAAGTTATATTCTGTATAATACATTACGGGAATAATATTACATAATCATTTTAATCGTACTTCCTATTCGAAAATTTTCTGACAACATCTTTCCCTATAATCCGTACCTACCCAATTTTCATATTTTTTCCGCATTGTCCAACACCACAATTTTATCCACTCAGGGCAATTCATTATCCAAAACAACTCCCGGTCCACCGTAACCATCCACGCCTTTAGATAAAACGTTTAGTTATTTGTTAAGTTATATTTTATAATAATACGAATAATATTAATAATCATTTTAATCGTACTTCCTATTGAAAATTTCGACAACATTTCCTCTATAATCCGTACTACCCAATTTTATATTTTTTTCCGCATGTCAACACACAATTTATCCATCAGGCAATTCATATCAAACAATCCCGTCCACCGTAACCATCATTTATTAGTCATCCATCATACATACATAGGCACTTGTGAATCCTATCTCTAATTCATTTTTAATTTCCATAATATCACAAATTACTTATCTATACCGTAAATTATAATTTTCTTCTATTTATACTTCTTCCAAATTCCGGCAATTAACGTCTATAAGTATTAGTTAAAATTCTTCTTTCATGATCAATATTATACTAATATTCATGCACTACATTTAATAATATCCAATTTAATCCATTTAAATACTCAATTAATTCATTAAATTCAAAATTTATCAAAAAATTGCGAATTGAGTCTGACAGTATATCGATTGAAAATCGGATTACGATTCCGAAATCCGTGCAAAGAGGAGGTCATTTTGACTCTTGAAGCTTTGCCGGAGTGTCGCCGGGGCCTCGCCGGACCGCCGCCGCCGTGCATGGTGGTCGGAAAATCGAACTTGCTCGAAACTGAGCACTCTTTACACCATTAGACTCGTTTTTCTGCTAGGAGTCCGGTTCTGAAGTCAGTTGAGCGAGATCAGTCCCTAGCTAGCCGGATCGGACCCGACAGTTGCTTGGTGTCGCCGTTAATGGTGGTTTCGCCATTCAAGCTTTGTAATCGGAATTAGCGGAGGGAAAACACTTACAGGGAAAAGGCGACTCGATCGACCCCTACCCCTTGCACTGACGTCGCCGGAATTGCTTGATCTCGCTGGAAAACTCCATCGCACGCTGGCGCGGCCTTCCAGTTGTGATTTCTCTCGATTCAGGCTCTCATCACACAAACCAAGGCCACCGGAACGATTGTCTCGCCGAGTTCTTGAGGTTAGAGTCCTTGTTTGCCGGAAACGATGGCTGTTTGGCCGGCAAACGGGAAGGAGAGGAATGAGGGAGGAGGCGCGCAACTGAAGGAGGAGGAGAAGAAGAAAAGAAAGAAAAAGAAAAGAAATGGGCCGGTCCGGTTCGATTTGAACTGGTTCGGTCCGATTCAGTGATTTGGTCTCGTTTCGTTTGGTTTTCGAGTTTTCCAATCGATTTTCGGATCCTTCGTGTGGTTCTTGACAAATTAAACTGATTTTTAGGTCCGATTTGATTTATTTTAATTGTTTAGTTCAGTTCCGTAATATTTTTCTCACTTTATTCAAGAAACATAAAATATTAATAGCAAAGAGATTTAATTTTAGGCTGATTAATTTATATAGTAGTTATATATATATAAACACATTTATAATCGATTAGCAATTAGTGTTCCATTTTATTTCATCGAAAATTTTAAGTGGTCCAATCGAAAGTTCCGAACATTATGTTTTTGGGCTTGGGCCCAATTTAAAAATTTGGACTCAAATTGAGACTGCATTTCAATTGCAGTCCACACGGCCAAAATTTCTGATTTTTGATTTAATAAAAATTCAAAAGTTTCGAAAATAAAAATTCGGAGTATTTCAATATTCATATATATGCCCATTTTAAAAAAACAACTTTTATTTAATTATTTAAAAAATTAACTTGAAATGAGATTTTTAAACTCAGACATTTGTTTTATTTTATTCATTAAATAAAATTCTCTTATTTTAAATTCACTGGAGATCTAATGGGCCGAAATAATACTGCAGGCTATACATGTCTCACTCGAGACCTCTCACTTTTCATTTAAATGAGAAGACTAAATATTGAAACATTTTAATAGTTTAAATTTAATTTTTTATACATAAAATATATTAAACAAAATTATATATATAATTTCTATGTCTTAATAGTTTAGATGAATTTTATGTAATTTGGTAATTATGTAATTTATTAAAATTAAAACAAATTAGTAATTGAGTATAACGTTAATGATTATAATTAAAATTAAAAATACTAAACTTCTAATGATAAATATAATTATATCTTAATTTAAAGTATGAAACCTAATTAAAATTATAATAATTTAAAATATAACTCGTATAAAATATTAAAAATGAATTTATAGGCATTATAACTGAATCTTAATTAAATGTCCTCTTATTGTATTTTTTTAGTATCATAATATATGTTTAATTGCACCTAAATTAAGGATTATAATGATTGTAATTAATTATGATTGTGAAGGAGGAGAGTACCCCACAAAAAACAGAACTCAACCAGGAGCACGAATGAAACTGGGCCAGCTGACCCCTTGACTGTCACTACGAAGCAGATGAAGGACCGAAGCAGGGGGTTGGTGGAACACTTGTCGACCGTTACCAGACAACACAGCCAAGTTGGCTAGAGAATCCGCCACCTATTAAAAATATTGAACTTAATACTTTACACTACTATTGTTGTTTTTACAATTATTATAATTTGAAATTTCATTAGAGGCAAGACAAGCCATTGTAAAGGAAAAAACATTAAATGTTACAATATCAAGAATTGAACTTTGGACCAGAACACCACCTTTGCCACTAGGCTAGGAATCAATTACATTATGATATCCAAAGTCTTTTAAATAATAATAATAAAATAATATAATAATAACTAATAATAAAATAAACTAATAATAATAAATAATAATAATAATAATAAATAATAATAATAATAATACATAATATTGATTGTTAATCTCCTTGCCAATCTTGGTTCTTGGAAAAAGTGGAGTTCAAATATTATGGTTTCTATTAAGAATATAATGATTGATGTTAAATTTCTTGTGGTTTTTTGTTATAATTCGTTTCTATTTAATGCACTTTTTAATGTGTAAACCTTTTTTTTTTTTTTTTTTTTTTTTTTTTGAGAATAGTTTTGTTACTGCTTTTTTATTGGATTAGTTTACTGTTATAATTGTTAATTCTGCTTCTGTTCCAGTTTTAGTATTATTATGTTTAATTGATTTTAGTTTGTTCATTATCATTGTCAATTTTGAATTTTAATGGATTTTAAGGTGTCAAATTGTTTAATTGAGATATTGGTTTGATTGTATTATTATTTATTTAGGTTGAACTTTTTTATTTTTTTTTTTCTATTTTTAATATTATTAATGTTGTTAACCATTTGAGGTTTGAATATTTAATTGATTTTCAGGTTGAAATTTAATACCATTGTTATATATTTCTGTTACATTTTTTGGGTTCAGAACGGTTTTCAAATGGATTGAACTGAATTTAAGGTTAAACGGGTTTGGGTTAAGTATGCGGGTAACTCCTAAACGGATTCTGGTATTTTTGGTTTAATTCCTTAGCGGAATTCAGGACTGGTTTCAGGTGCTTAAATAGATAAGCGAGTTCAGGCTCGGATAGTTTATTTCTAGCGGGTACTTTCTCCACTGCTATTCCTAAGCGATACTGGAAAATCTGAATGGTAGAAACGCATTATAACTTAGTTTTGGTAAGTTCACTCTTTCCTTTTTCTTTTTATTTTCTCCTCCGTTTCCTTTTATTTTTGATTTCATTCAACTACCTGCATACTTTTGCCTCGAGTTTTTTTTTTTTTTTTTTTTTTGAGAATTAGTTTGTTATGCTTTATATGGATTTAGTTCAATGTTATAATTGTTAATTCTTGCTTTGTTCCAGTTTAGTATTATTATGTTTTAATTGATTTTTAGTTTGTCATTATCATTGTCATTATTGAATTTTAATGGATTTTTAATTGTCAAATTGTTTAATTGAGATATTGGTTTGATTGTATGTATTATTTATTTAGGTTGACTTTTTATTTTTTTTTTCTATTTTAATATTATTATGTTGTTTAACCATTTGAGGTTGAATTATTTTATTATTTTCAGGTTGAATTTCAATACATTGTTTATATATTTTCTGTTACATTTTTGGGTTCAGATACGGGTTTCAAATGGATTGAACTGAATTTAAGGTTAAACGGGTTTGGGTAGTATGCGGGTAACTCTAAACGGATTCTGGTATTTTTGGTTTATTCCTTAGCGGAATCAGGACTGGTTCAGGTGCTTAAATAGATAAGCGAGTTCAGGCTCGGATAGTTGATTTCTAGCGGGTACTTCTCCCACTGCTATTCCTAGCGATACTGGAAAATCTGAATGGTAGAAACCATTATAACTTAGTTTTGGTAAGTTCACTCTTTTCCTTTTTCTTTTTATTTCTCTCCGTTTCCTTTTATTTTTGATTTCATTCACTACCCTGCATACTTTTGCCTCGAGGAGGGAATCTTTTGGTCGGGTTGAAGAGATTCTCTTAAAACTTACCGGATTACCTCCTCGACGACCAAAGCGAAGTTGATGATTTGGTAGCACTTTGTTTCCAGTTTTATTCAATAGGAATTTTTGATTACAAATGCTGTTTCTGGTTTGATACTAATTTAATGTTAAACTTTTGGTGCTCACCTTGCCAATTCGTGTTGTTTGCTTAATGAAATTCCCAGCAATTGATGTTGGAAAGTCATGTGCTTTAATCATTTTGGTTCCCATTTTTAACTATCTGATCTTGACATTGAAGTTGCTTAATTAGATGAACGATATGTAATCTGTTTCAGTTGTGATTGGTTTTTGCTCAATGGGTCTGCGAGATTGTTCTTATTGGTTTTTTACCTTGTGGATTAGATTGAGGTAGTATGTACCGAGTCATTTAGAATGCAATATCAAGGCATTAATGTAAAAACCTTTCTTTCTTCTTTGATCGTGTGTTTGTATCTTTGTGGGTTTTGAATTTAAGTGTCTTAGAGCTTTGTTTTAGCTTCATTTTTATTCCTGATTTGCTTTTCTTTCTTTCTTTCTTTCTTTTTTCTTTTTATAGTTTTTTGGCAGTTGTGTATTTACATTACCATTTGAAATTTGGAAGAAATAACTTAATTCACTTAAATGTTGTTCTTTTGCATGTAGGCATAATTCTTTATTGGATTTGGGATGTAGTTCAAGCCAGATTTTTGAGTTTTGAGTTTTACTTTTGTTCTCAGGATTTTGATTTGGGTTATTATAGTTCTCTCTCCATTCTGTTTCAAAAGAAAGTAAAATTGGAGAAGAAGGGAAAGAGATAAGTACTGATTTTGATTTAAAGAAGTGTTGGGCCACCTTTTTTTTCCCCTACTGAAAATTTGCAATATGCCTCCAATATTCCAACCATTGAAAACCATTTCTTGGGAACACTTCTACCGTAAATTCAGATTTCCAGAAAACTATTCTTCCCTTCTTTACATTCACTATCTTCACATCCCACATAACCGAAATCCTGAGAAGAATTACTTTCAGGAGTCCAATTCCCAATCCACTGCATTTCACTTTGTCCATTCAGCTGCAAATGCTCACTTAGTAACTGAATTCGGACCAAAACCAACAAGTGAAGTAGCTATCGATGTTCAAAACATCCTTAAGAATTATAGAGAAAGCGCAACTAGGAAGATTGAGCTTGCTCTCACTCAATGCAGCCCCACAGTGACAGAGGATTTAATCTTGAATGTACTAAAGAGGCACCATTCTGATTGGAAGCTGGCTTTTATTTTCTTCAACTGGGCATCTAAAAGAGGCCAAGCTTTTCTTGGGTCTAGTGTTTATAACGAGATTCTTGACATTCTTGGCAAAATGAGGCGGTTTGAGGAATTGACCCAAGTGCTTGGTGAAATGTCTAAGAGAGAGGGACTTGTCAATGAGGAAACGTATAGAATTCTAGTTAATAGGTATGCAGCTGCACACAAGGTAGAGGAGGCAATTAATGTTTTCAATAAGAGGAGAGATTTAGGACTAGAGCTTGGCTTGGTCGCATTCCAGAAACTTTTGATGTGTTTATGTAGGTACAAGCATGTAGAAATTGCAGAAACTTTGTTGTATGCAGAGGGAAATAGCTTTGACCTGGATATCAAGACGATGAATATTGTTCTGAATGGCTGGTGTGTGTTGGGAAATGTACACGAGGCGAAGAGATTCTGGAAAGATATAATTGGCTCTAAATGCAAGCCAGATTTGTTTACTTATGGAACTTTTATTAAAGCATTAACCAAGAAGGGAAAGTTAGGTACAGCAATGAAACTCTATCGAGCATTGTGGGAGACACAGTGCAAACCAGATGTGGTGATTTGCAATTGTATTATTGATGCATTGTGTTTCAAGAAGAGGGTTCCTGAGGCTTTGGAAGTCTTCAAGGAAATGAATGAGCGGGGCTGTTTACCAAATGTGGCTACCTACAACTCGCTTATTAAGCATTTTTGCAAAATTCAGAGGATGGAGAAGGTTTATGAGCTTTTGGATGAAATGCAGGAAAAGAAGGGGAGTTGCATGCCAAACAATATAACTTTCAATTACTTGCTCAAGGCATTGAAGAAACCAGAGGAACTTCCTGAGTTTTTGGAAAGGATGAAGAGAAATGGATGTGCAATCAATGGCGATACATATAACTTAACCTTGAAATTGTATATGGATTGGGATTGTGAGGAAAGAGCAAGAAATACTTGGAATGAGATGGAAAAAAATGGATTGGGACCTGATCGGCGATCCTATACTATCATGATTCATTGGTTCTATGACAAAGGTAGAATCAAGGATGCTCTGCATTACTTTGGGGAGATGACGTCTAAGGGAATGGTGCCAGATCGAAGGACTGAGATATTGGTCGATACTATGAATATGAAGTTGAAGGAGAATGCCGAACACATGGAAGAAGGTGCGATATGCGTGACAAATCATCAAGGCTTTTGCACAAAAGGAGAAGGAAGATAAAAGTGAGGAAATAGTGGTCCATTGGGGCACTGTGATTTCCCTTGCAGAAAAAGCACTCAATTTACAGAATCTAATTGGATATAGAATGCTTGAAGATCGTGAGCTCTGAATTTATCTTTTAGGTAAGCAAAAAGTTTGTTTGATGTTGTTTATTAATAAGGAAAATTTTGTTTTGTGAAACATTTTGTGATGAGAGCTACCCACTTTCCTTGTTTTCATTAAAACTTGGTGACACTTTGAATAAGAGAAGTTGAGGACAAAATTTATCTTGGATAATAAATTTCTTCAATAAAAAAGGTTGCTTTTCAAAGTCGCAGAAATGTGGCTTGCATTTTTGTGAAATTGGCATAAAAATATTTATATCTTCATTCATTTGTCTTATTCTTGCAAGATGCTTTGAAGCAAATCTATCCTCAATTGGGTCTGTTCATTCTTTTGAGCATTAAATTTTAGGTGTTAAATAGATTGACTGTTGCTTCATTTTTAGCTGTGATTTGCTTTTATTTTTCAACAAGATGTTGGACTGAACCTTTTTTTATGGTTTATTTCTTCAGTATATCAAAACGCAATTATATTTTTATTTCTTCTCTTGTATGATTTTTTTTAGATATGCAAACACACACACTGTTTGATATATAGTGGAGTACAAACACATACATAGAGTCAAAAGAACAACTTGAGGAAGGCAAAAGGTGTACTGTGAAATTAAGAGAGAGAGAGAGAGAGCATAATAATCATTTAAAATATTGAATATATTAATTCTAATTTTAATTTATCTTAAATTTAATTTTAAGTCATATAAGGTGGCAAACAATCATAAGCAATTGTGAATATATTATATATGCATTGTATGTGTGAATATGAGATTTAGAGTTGGGTTTAATTCTTTTGGTTTTGGAATAATTTCTAGCTAGATTTTCACTGTGAAATTTTGTTATTTAATTATGAGAAAATTACTATAACGTCCTTGTATATATCGAAATACAACTAATCGCTCTCTGCATTTCTAATAATACCTTTTGAAGTCTGTATGTTTTAATTCCGTCTAACATTCAGATAATGTCTGTTTATGTATTTGACAGCTCTTTCCAATCCTCTTTGACGTTGACAGCTCCAATTAACAGAAGCGGAATTGACCTCATTAAAATAGGCATCTTGAAAGATTTGGGCAAGTCCTCATCTACCCCAAAAGTATAAAAGCCTTTTATAACACTAAATGTTGTATGAGTATTGCTTGATACCAATTAATGACATGGAAAATAACTTTACAGTCAATTCAGTTATCCCTGTATAGATATATCTATAAGTTTTCAAAATCATTTTTCAAAAATGGTAGTTTTAAACATAAAATCTACTTGTAACTATCCCTAATTAATCCTTGACATTGTGGTGTGAATCTAAATTAAGTGGAAAGTTTTTTTGTGCAGAATGTTAGATTCCTTGCAAAATTCACGACAGAGGCTGGAATTATTATTAGGAGGAACCAGGTAATGTGCATTATGGAGTGCAAATTCAAATGTTGTAATTGATTGAATCTATGAGATAAGATTATTTGTATCTCTCAGTCTCATTGTTCATTTTGTAGACTGGCATAAGTGCAAGGCACAGAGGAAGCTTGCTAGGGAGATCAAAACAGCTCGTGCTTTTGGTCTAATGCCTTTCACAACAATGGGAACCTATGTTGCATGGAAACAGAAACGTGGAAGCTTGGAAACGTGGAGCGGAAACGGACACAGGGAAACAGTATTTTTAAAAATATAAGAAACAGGAATGTGGGGAAAAGTGTTTCCAAATTACTCATTTATTGAACGGGTCCAAAACATTTCCATGGAGTTTCCATGCGTTTCTGTGCAGGAAACGTTTTCAAAATGCAGAAACGGCAGCCAAAGGGAGTTTTCGTGCAACGTAGATGGAAACAAAGTCATTTGTTTTTGGAAAAAGTATGGAGAATCTTGAAGAGGACTTCGAATATGAGACATACAATACAGTTGATGATGCAAATGGCAAAGATGACTTTGTTGGAGCTTAGGTAGATTTTGAGCCTGTCTCTGATTTTTGTATCATCCAATTATGGAAGTCCTAGTTGCGTCCTAATAATTATAATACTGTAGATGCCTTTCGCAGTCATCATAAACTCTGTTTGCAATTATAATTTGTCTCCCTAAATTGAAGTTCAAAGCATATAATACAAAGGACAGGTTTAGAGTTTAAGAACTCGTTTGGATCAACGGAATTTAATCCATGAAAACATTTTGTGGATTTATCCGATTCATTTCTTTATATATATGAATTCATGAATTTAGCTTTCTTGGGAATGTAATGTCAAATACTGAAAACTTACTTTTGTTATATTATAAGCTAGAATGGTTAAATTTTCTGTTAAATAATAGTGAAATATCAAAAACCCTCTTAAAGATAATTCGAATATAAAAAATAGATAGCGCAAAATTATAAAAATTGAGGTTAATGGCCTCAATATACATTGTACATCATATGAACATAGCTATACCCTCAGTAGTCATTTTACCAAGTCAAAACTTAGTAATTGCAGCGATTGCTAACATAGCTAATAATATTTTAATTAAGTCAAAATTTTATCTCCATTAATTGCAGATAATGTGGCTATTATAATAGATTTCAGAAGTTGAGGGAGCTTTTGATGAAACATTAATTACTCTAATATTTAGCCTTTTAACGTTTAACGTTTATCTTTTAATTTTTTTTTTTTTGACAATCATACCCATTATTTTTAAAAAGACCCCAAGTCAATTAACTACTCATTTCATAGTCGCGTGATAGAAAAAAATATTAACCGAAGATCCAAACTGTAGAGCCATATTTAGTCTGCAAAATAGAAAAGGTTTAAATTAGCAATTCCACATGGAACTATTACAAACTGAAGTATTACGGTTTTCTACAAATTCCTGAATATGAGTAGGAGAAATATAGACAGACGAGGTCTAAGTAAATGATTTGCTCAAAGTACATATACCATTAAAACCTTATTTTGGACATGATCAATTGTTTTCATGTCCAATTAACGTTAAAAGCATCTTTGCATAATCAAAAGAAGTGTCTCCCTTTATGGCATCCTCTAAAGTTACACTATTCCTTTTATAATACTCTTCTTTGATGCGTTTCATATCAACATCAGCTCTTGTAACTACAACTCTAGTAAGAGTTTCTTCATCTGTTCCTATCCCTTTCATGGAAAGTCGAAGAACTTTCTCGAAGTATTTCTCTGGACACTTTAAACACTTGATGGTGGCTCTCAGCAATGCAAGATACTCTTCATTCTCCTTACTCCTCAGATCCTGCAATAGGCCAAAATTGGTATCCGAACTGAATTAGTCAATTCAATTGATTTTAGTTGATTTTTGTCATATCGATTTGGTTTAAGTCCAACCGATAAATTTCTAAACGATTGATTCAAACCAAATAGTTGACTGAACCAAAACAAAATAGTTTGGTTTGGTTCTTGATTCCATTTGGTTGGTAATTTTGCACACCACTAGATATTAGCGTCTACTTTTAGACCTTTATTTAGAAATTTTTGAATGCAAATAGAGAAATGAATACCTTGTTAATGGAATTCCCAAATTGATCATTGTAGCAGTTAAGTGTTGCATTAATTTGTGCTTTGCTTCTGGTACTCAAAATGCTTGTGAGCTCTTCAGCACTAAAAGCTTTTTTTGAAATTTTCTCATGAAGAATCTTAGCTTCTGATTTTGCTAGACCCATATTCACTTCACCTCCCTCATAACGATATGCAGTTACCAAAGGCACCAAAAGCTGTAGAACAATACTAACAATCATAAATAACAATGGCTAATCCATAAATTTTATCTTGATCTTTCAGCGATTATCTTTGTAGTCCCCTAAATTTTACAGCGAACTCATCATGACGATGTACTTTCACATTTCAGTAATAACTATGTCACTCGCCAAAATGAAATGTGAAAAAATATAGAGTCATGATCAAACCCCTATAAAGATATTTTACTTTAGTAGGAGACGTAATTGTCAGTAAAATGTGAAAGTATATAGTCATGATTGACCCTCACGAAATTTAGGGGTCATAAAGCTAATCTGGCTAAAATTCTAGGTCAAATTTATACATTAGGCCAAATAACAATTCTTTAATTAAACAAAAAAGAGGTTTTAATGAGTAATGACATAAAAGTTTTAAATGAACTTTCAAGTAAATCAAATAGATAATCAAATCATAGACTAATTGGCTAACAACTAAAATTCGCAAAGATGTGACAATCAAACGTGATCTGGTTGATTTTATCACTAACGTGAGAAGTGCAAGATCTTGAGTCCGAATCCTCTTAATCACAAAAATTTTCACCAACCTAGTGATTCAAGAGGAAGGTTAAACTCATACGATGTTTATTTCGAACATTTGAGCTTCTTGATTAATAAAAATAATAGACAAATATTTTATGGGGCAGCCAAGAATCCTGAAACAAACAAGAATAGTCTCACGTTCAAAGTAATATTACAATCAAAAAACAAAGATAAATATTAGTTATTACCTTGCGAAAATCTCCAGTTGTGTGACAAGCAAGATCTTCTTCAAGAGATTTATTAAAACGATTTAGATATGCTTTTCTTGCCAAAAGCAATTCATCTGAAGTTCTTGCACAAGCAATTTCCATTATCACATAATAACTTCCATTCTTTTTCCTTGTAATTTCATTGGCAAATGATGCATCCCTCTCAGCAGGATCCAATGTCCACAGTAGCACTATCCTCTATATAATTATTTTAATCAAAACAATTTAATTAAATTAAATCTAATAAAAAATTCAAATTGGAAATTTTGAAGTAGTTTTTTTATTGGGATTAATTCTTATTTCCCTACTGCTTCAAAAATGTATTATTTAGTATCTAATGTTTAGAGAACTTAAGTATTTATTTCTTTGGTTTGAATTAATGTGATTTTAACCATTAATTATAAGGAAAAAGGTTAAAAATGCTTTCCTGCATGAATGAATCTCATAATTTTCTAGATTTTATCCTATTAAAACCTCTCAAATCTCTAAAATTTTCTCTTATATCTGCAATCATTTAGCGTGTCTCCTTCTTTCTCCTCTAATTTGGTCGCTAATTTAGTGACCGATTACAATACGATCACTAAAATTTTTAGCAACAAGCATATTAACTACTTTTTTTTTAGTCTCTAATTGGTCGCTAAATATTATTAGCAACCGAATTTTCTTTTTTAGCAACGGATTATTCAGTCGCTAAAAATCATTCTTCCTGTAATGATGCACTTTTGAAGCAGTAGAGACTAACTATTGTATCAGGTCAAATTTGAGGATGCAAACGGTTTGCCCTTTAGAGTTCTTTTTTTTTTTTTTTTACATTAATTATAAGGAAACAGGTTAAAATTAAAGCCTTTCTGCATGAATCGAATCTCATAATTTTCTAGATTTTATCCTTGATTAAAACCTTCCTCAATCTCTCTAAAATCATTCTTCTTAATATCTGCAATCATCAGTTAGCCGTGTCTCCTTCTTTCTCCTCTAATTTGGATCGCTAATGTATCAAGTGACCGAAAGTTACAAATACGAGCTCAGACTAAAGATTTTAGCAACAAGTCATATTAACTACTTTTTTTGTTATGGTACCGCCTAATTGGTCGCTAAATATGTATTAGCAACCGAATTTTGCTTATTTATTAGAACGGATTATTCAGTCGCTAAAAAAATCATTCTTCCTGTAATGATGGTCAAGACTTTTGAAAGTAGTAGAGAGACTTGATTGTATCAGGTCAAAATTGTGAGGGTTACTTGGCGATCATACGGTTTGCCCTTGTAAGTTCTTTTCATTATTTCTTTTCTTCTTGTTGTTGTACTCACCTCCCAACAAGTATGTGGTCTTATAGCTGGGGAACTAAAACCCGGGGGCCTGCTTCTCACCATGCCCAGCTTACGTTGCAACGGAAACCAAATACCATAGGTTTCCCCATCTTATATACGGAGAGTTTTTTTTTTTTTTTTACTCCTCCCCACAAGTGTGTTTAGTGGGGACTAAACCCGGGGGCTCTTCCTACATGCCCAGCTTACGTTGCCAACGAAACCATAATCCATAGGTTCCCCTTTAGAGTTATTAGTTATATGCCAAAACCAGTAATAATCTTAATTAGAGTTAAAAATTTTGAATAACTCTGTCCTGTAATTTAATAAATAATCATTAAAAAAGAACTATATAATTGTCGCTTCAGCAAGTCCTTGCCTTTTTTTTTTAGTATTAAATTTTATTTTTTGTTGCCCTTTTATAGGCTCAATTCTTAGGATTATTTTGCTCTCGTTTTCAAGATAAATCTATGGATCTACTCTTAATTTAATTTCTCTTCCCTTAGGGTTATTTCCAATACTTGAAGATGTATTTTTTAATTAACCATATCAAGTATGTTAAACGCCTGTAGACCTTGAAAAGCCTGAGGATGTTTAAGAAGATAATATACTAACCTCAAAGTCACCTGATAATCCTTTTTCCAATGCTTTCAGAAGATCCTCTTTATATGTTTGCGCATAAGCTTCACGAATTAACTTGCGTTGAGCTGCACTTCGATTGCCCAATATTGATATAATTGCACCCCTATCTATTCCCCATCCTGCAGTCAACAACACATCATGTAACGTAATATCAGAGAACATTCTTATTTATTTACTTAATTCATTTTCTAGATAAAAAAAAAAAAAAAAAATTAATGGACCTAAAAGAAAACCATCAAATGATTTTTTGAGTTTTTCACAGTCTTGAGACACTGAAAAGCATTCATCTGCCATTGTTGACATTTTAACCTCTCTTTTCTGAAAATGTTCATGTTTTATTGTGTTTTCTAAATATGGTGTTTTTCTGTTTGTGTTAATTAGAGAAAGAGAAATAACAGGTGTTATAGATTTGGTCATGGAAGAACGCTATTTGCGCTTTGACTATTTATAAACAACTGCTTGTCTACCACCACTCAAGGTATGCCAAATTGGTATGTGAAGTACTTAAAATCAATTCGAAAAAAGTTTGTTAGATACTATTTAATAAGTTTAACAAGCTAAACTTGAGTATGCTTATTGAACTTGAATTTGAGTTTGAGCTTATAAGGGATGAATTTTTCTTTTAATTATAAATTGTAAAATGAAAATATAATTCTAATAAATCACAAGTAAAAGTAGGTGATACAAAGTTTAACTTTAAATTAAAATTTGATTAATTTGCAATTATCATCAATTTCAAGACCTTCAAGTGAGTGCATTTAATTTTGCGATCTTTAGTGATATTCTTTATGGTTTGTACTCTGATTATAGTCCCAAAACCACCGGTTCAAATTGTAAAAAGGAATGAAATTAAAATATTTTGTTTTATTAGTTTATTTCCTTGATATCAAGCCAAATTGAAAAAAAAAAAATATTTTTTTTAATGTAATTGTTTGATTAGGCATCCAGAAGTTGTTGCCATTTTCTTTTTGGTCTCTCGTTATTGTAGTTCTTCTTGGCCTGGGTTCAGTTATATATTTCTATACAATTTGCTATTTATTGTATAAGAACTTGAATGCAACACGTATTGTTTGTGAGCATTGTCCTTAAAATCTTAAGACCTACCGATTTCATTTCAGATATTCTCAGTTTAGAACAGCGTCTATGGACTACCAATGATAATACTCCACCTATAACGTGTAAAGATTCAGAAGGGAGTGAAAAATGAAAATTTCTATTGATATTTGATATATGGAGTGAAATATTATTTTCTATAAGTATTTTTTTCATAAATTTAGAGAGATTCATTTTTAGAAGGAGAATATGGTACATTTGAGTGTACCTAAGATTTTTTTGCTTAATCTACAAAAATACTCGGAGCCTCTGCGACTTGTTCAATAATATGCTAAACCGACCTTCGTCCCGCATCCTAACTTAGTAACCCTAAATACAAAATAGGCTAGAGTTTTACAACATTAATAGTAATAACGTGGGTCCCACCTAAATAGTTAACCCAAGCCTCTAAAATCAAGCAAAACACACCGTTTTTCATAAACCTAACATAGAAAAATCTCTAATTTCCCAATTCCTTCTCCTCCTTCTCCAACTCTAATCAATTGAAAAACTCTCGCTGCACATAACACTGACTTACGAATTCTCCATCCATGGCATCTATCTTTGTATGCCGGTCTTTGGACATTCCTCTCCTTCATCCCATCAAAAGTCCTTTGAGCATAATCCATAATCCTACATTTGGAACACATACCAATAAGCACAGACCGTATATAAACATCCCATGAGAACTGAGATTTCAACATTAAACAATGAATTTGCCTACCCGTTTTTAGGTCCTTTAACCCTGCACAAGCACTTAGACCACTACCAAATGAATACTCATTAAGCACGAAGCCCTCCCATGCATCCGGACAAAACAATCAAAGCTTCTCCAATCTGATCATGCTATGCAAAGCAGCATTGATTAAATTCCAAGAGCACTGGTCAGGATGAGGCATGGATGAAAATAACCACGCTCCCTCATGAATAAAACCAGATTTCATCAAGGTACTAAAAAATGGAGTTCCAGGTAAACGTATTCCTCTCGGGCATTTTATCAAACACCTTGTGCACATCATCCAAACAACCACACTTGCCATAAGAATCAATAAGCCTATTCTGTATGGAAACTTCAGTTGTGAACTGGCTTTTGATGATGTGTGCATGTATGTGACGTGTGTCACTGGCAAATTGGGATTTGACGCATGAATCAAAGAGCTTTGCAAAAGGGGAAGAGTCGAGGAAAGAGAGGTTACCCATGGTTTGCTTAACGAGATGAAAGTTAAGAACGGAGGATAATGAAGAAGAAGAGACTGATGGAGAAGGAGAAGGAAAAGGGAAAGATAAAACATTTCGCAATTAGGGTGACAATATATTTAAATTACTGAGTCAGGGTGCCTGGGTGATGTTATAATGAGTCGCAATGTTCGGATCGAATTCGGGTTCATGGGTTCATGAGGTCGGGTAAGTACCCAATAGTAAATGGGTTTGGGATGGGTTCCCTCCAGGTTACCTATTTGATTTAAGGCAAAATTTTTATTATGATTAACAGAATCAAACCCATGACCTCTATAAGAATTATGCTACCTTACCACCAATTTACTTAACATTTTTAGATAAAAAATATACATAAATATATATCACCTGTAACTATAGTTATTTATATTTTAAATACTTATTAATGAATAAAATATTATTGGATAGTAACGTAATCTTATTCATAAGAAAAATTTTAATAAAATTATGTACATTAAATTATAATAGCTTAATAATTTTAATTTTTTTTTATAAAATATATTAAACAAAATTATAGTATTCATGTCATGTCTTAGTAATTTAATTGAATTTTTTATATTTTGGTAATTATGAAATTTATTAAAATAAAAGGTTGTTAATTGAATAGAATGCTAATAATGTTATAATTAATTTTTTTTAAAGCTACTTATCAACATCATTAGTGAACTTCTAATAATAATTATAATTAGATTTTAATTTAAAATATAATCCGTGTTAAATATGAAATCTAGATATAATTTTAATAAATTAAAATATGACTCATATAAAATATCACCAGTGAACTTATAAACATAATTATAATTGAATTTTAATTAAATGTCCTCTTTTTTTTATTAGTGTCAATTAATATATATATTAGTATAATTATATCTAGAAATCTAGTGTATATAGATTAAGGATTACAACAACCATATAATTAATTATAACCTATTAAGTATATTCTCTAATGAAAAAGTATTAAATTTAACACTTTACTTAATATTATTATTATTACAATTACTATAATATTGAAATATAATTATCGCGTTTTAATTAATAGCTATAATAATCATAATAATAATAATAACTATTTTACCATCAAAACGACGTAGTATTGATGCAGGAGGTTTAAATGAATCCACAAACAAAACTACGTCGTTTTAGCCAAGGACGATACAAACAAAATGATCTCTCAAATCTGAAAGTCAAGTGTTTCTCCTCCCTCCCTGTCCCTGCGCTGCTCTCGTTCTCTCCTTCTACAGCCAGTCTTTCTTTATACCTCCCGTCGCTTCCGCAGCAGTCGTGCTCTTCAAGTGTACAAGAGCCAGGTTCGATCTTAATTATTTTTATTTCGTTCATAGTTTTTTTTTTTTTTTGCTTCGTCCCTTTCCCTTATTCTTTTTTTTTTTCAATATATAAATATATATATTACAGACAGAGGAGGAATTGTTGAATATATTGTTGACTTAATTTGTGGGTTCAGCCTAGAGATATATATTTATTGTTTTATTTTTTCGTTTGTGGGTTTTCTGCATGTTTTATTTGTTGAAAACATATATATTAAAAGGCAAAAGGATGGTGAATATAAGCCAATTCGTGGCTATATGAGTGAAATCTGACATGTTTGGGATTGTCGTTCATGGTTTTTTGTTTTTTTTTTGCTTCAGTCCCTTTCACCATATTCTTTATATTTTTTTTCAATACTATATAATATGAACTATTGAACAGACAGAGGAGAGGAATGACGTGAATCCTGATATAGGATGGTTGGACGTTAATTTGTGGGTTCAGCCTTCGAAGATATAATATTTAGATTAGTTTATTTATTATTGTTCCGCGATTCTGTATGGGGTTATGGATCTATGCGAACCATGTTTTTAACATTTGTAGTGAGAGATACATGATTATAATGTGTTTAAAGAGGAGCAAAAGGAATGGCTGAATAACAGCCATATTCGTGGCATCATATTAGATACGCTAGTGGCAGAATCTATGGACATGTTTGGTTATGTTAAATAAATGATTAAGAATTGTGTAGTAGACACTGAGACAATCTGAAGAGTTATGTGGGCAATAATTGCTTCATATGAGTGAGGAATTGTATTTGTCTAATAAAGCTTTGTTTTCTGCTGCTAAAGTTTTATATGATGTTATGAAGATTAGTAAATCTTTGGTGATTGTTATATAGGGCTGAAATTTTATTTCTGACGCTTGGATAGTGAGTAGAGGTTTTTTGTTCTATATTTAATTTTTCAGACTTCTTAGTTCATTGAGGAAGACGCGGCGGGAAGTCGTAATGTATTTTTGTTAGTATTTTGTGATTTTATATAGGGCTGAAATTTTTTCTGACTTGGATAGTGGAGTTCTTGTTCTTATTTATTTTTCAGATTCTTGTTCATGCGGGAAGTCGAATGTTTTTTTGTGTGGAAGAAGATGATGTTGATTGTTAATCCTTGCAATCTTGGTTCTTGAAAAAGTAGAGTTCAAGAATTATGTATATGTAAAATTTCTTGTGTTTTTATTGTAATGTTGTTCTGTTTTAATGTATTTTTTAATTCAGTAATTTTTTTTATTGAGATACTTTTTATTATGATTTATATGAATTTAGTTCTCATTCTATGATAATTTGTTGTAGTTTAGTATTATAATATTTTAAACGATTTTATTGAATTCTAATAGATGTTTGATTGTTAAATTGTTTAATTGAGATATTGGTTTGAATTAATTATTTAGGTTGAATATCAATTCTTTTGTTCTATTTTAATATTATTATGTATTGTTGTTTTAGAATACTACATGTTAGTCTTTTGCTAGAGTGGAGATCGAATCTGACTGCCTCACAAATGTTCGACAATTTGCTGCCCAGACCTTTCCTGCTACTAAGATGGGAACAAGATATTGGAATGCTAAGATTCTAGCCTCTAGTTTTATTTCTTTTAAATTGTCTTATATTAATAGACTTTGCAATACGCCAGCACACCAACTGGCAAAGTTAGCTTTAGTTTTAGATGATGACTTGCGTGTTTGGGTGGAGGATTGTCCACAACCTATCTTAGATTTTGTAATAGGACACAATGTTTTAAGCAGTTAATGAAATTGCAACTTTCCTTCTCAAAAAGAATATTACATGTTAAATTATTTTATTATTTTGAAGTTGAATTTTAATGCTTATTTTATATATTGTTTTGTTGCACTTCATGTTCAGATTCGGGTTCCATGCGGGTTTGGATTTTCTGGATTGAATAAATTTGTGATTAAATGGGTATTTAAATGGGTTCGGGTAGTATGCGGGTAATTCTAAATGGATTGGGATGGGTCTGGGTATTATTGGTTTATTCCTTAATGGATTCGGGCACTTAAAATGATAACGGATTCGGGAGCGGGCTCGGGTAGTTTATTTCTGGCGGGTACCCGTCCTACTGCCATCCCTAATTATAACTTGTTTTGAAGATGTTGTAGCACTTGGAAGTGTGCAAAGATTGCACTTTTCCAATTATGTTTTGGTGTTACCAAATGAGTAATTGTAAAATTCCTTTTCAATTTCTTTTTATCTAATTTCTTTCCTTTCATTTCGTGTACAGGGGAAGATAAAACTGTTTCTTGTTTATTTTGAAATACACCAGTTCTGTAGGAGAACATATATTTATGAAGGTGAGACTATGTGAATCCATTTTTCTTGATGTGGTGCTTCAACATGCATGTAAACATGACTGCTTTCTTATTTCTCATTCAGGCATTTGAATCCTTAGATCTTTAGATGCACGAATATATTTTCCAGGTTTGTATAGAAGAACTACAATGCAGCTCTACTGCATAATTCAAGATTTTAAACCACTGCCACTTATTGGTCCATTTTGAAAAACTCTGCTGTTAGTTGAACAGACACCCTTGTTATGGAATCTTTGGTGTTTGCATATTCAGTTGTGAACTAATTGACTGTAATCCAGTTAATGAAAGATGAAACACCAAACATTGGTTTTTTTTTTTTTTTTTTTTTTTTTTTTTTTTTTTTTCTTTTTTTTTTTTGGGAAAACACTGAAGGATCAACTTCTGTCTTGTTTCAGCCATTTCTATACAACAGTGGAATATTTATGGTTTTTCTTTTTATTATGTTTCAATCGAGTATTAGAATCGTTGGTCTAGCCTGGTAATCTACGGTTATTTAAGTCCTTCTTTTGGGTTACATTCGTTGCTTTGATAATGGTTTTACTGCTATACTTGGTGTTGCAAATGTAAGTTTTACATCCATATAATATAGAGATATTGCACACATGAATATGCTATTTACTTTGCTTTAGATATAAATAGTATAGCTTGTCTTTTTTCTTTTTTCATTCTTGGTTTTTTTTTTTTTTTTTTTTTTTTTGGGAAACATGGAAAGGATCAACTTCTTCTTGTTTTCAGCCATTCTAAGTTGATAATTTATGGTTTTCTTTTTATTATTTTCAGAGTATTAGAAATCGTGTCTACCTGTTATCTCGGTTATTTAATCCCTTTTGTTACATTCGTTGCTTTGATAATGGGTTTACTGCTATACTTGGTGTTGCAAATGTAGTTTTAATCCATACTATGTATGCTGTTCACACATGATATGCTATTTATTTGCTTTAATTAATAGTTGGACAATTGTCTTTTTTCTTTTTTCTCTTGTTGTTGTTGTTTTTATTATTTTTGGCGTTTATTTATTTATTTATATATTTTGGATGGGGTGTGTATTGGGGGAAGGGGACAAGGGAAGTGTCTTCTCACTTTGGTTTATTAAAATGTTGGTGTTACGACCACCTTGGGCCAGACCGGCACTAGGGCTTGGGCAAGTGTAAAGCTCCCGAAACCCATATTAAACCTTTTCTTTTCATAATTTTACTTCTGTGCCCAATATTTTTTGAGGCCCAATAATTGATCTGTAACTATAAAACTTTATATTCATATGCTTGTTTTTCTTTTTTCTTTTTCCCCTTTTGGCCCTGGGATGTCTATCTGAGCTGCTTTAGATGATGACATTGTTATTTCCTAGCAGCCAAATTATAGTTTAATGCTTATAATTTGTGGTGCATGACTGTCTGATGGAATTGCTTCCTTTTGTTTGACAAGTATTATTCTCATTCATTTGATCAGTTTACTGCTTAGTGATGGCAAAAGGTCTGATATGGGCAACAGCTGAAGACTTGGCTAGGAATAGAGGACGTGTTCTCTCTCTTTATCGACAAATATTGCGCAGTCTGAATTCTCCAAGTTTGCCTCTTAATTTAGCTGCGAGGTTGGCTAAGAAGGCTGAAGTTCGTGCCATCTTCATGTTGGCATCCGAGGAGAGATCTCTGCACAATATTGATGACCTTATTGACACTGCTGAATATTCTCTCTCCATCTTGAGAAAAGGTGAAATCCCTAAATACATTCAATGATTATGAACCGGCAAATGTAGCCCATCAGGAAAAAAAAAAAAAATCTGCAACTTTTGAGGGAAGTGTTCTTAACTTGTATGAATAAGGATTTTCCTTTATTTTCAATTTTACTGTGTTTTGGAATATGCGATAATACATCAAAAATCATCTTGAAAGCTTCCTTCGATGGTGTTATTTAGCTTTTGTAAGTTGATATCAGGGGGAAATCATTATTCGGGTGTGTGATCATCTTGTGTCGCTCAATTAGGTGACCGTTATGATCTCTTAACTTGGCATGTATAGCTTTCTGAAGAAAGAACAGAACCGAAACTGCCTTCTGAACTGAATCGAACCGAAGCAGTTGGCTTGGTCAATTTTGATCGGTTTTACTATTTTGGAGGTTCAGTTTTAAATCCAACCAACAGATTTTTATGAAATCGATTCGAACTGAAATATAAATTTGGTTCAAATCAACAATTGAACCTCTCTTTATTTAGCTGGTTGAACTTAAATGAGTCTGTTTGATTTTGGTTCAGTTCGGTCGGTCAGTTTGCACGCCTAGTTTACACTTCCATTTGTCTGACATTAAGATCAAGTTTCTTTTTTCACAATCTACTTTTATTTATCATTTTTCTTACATTTAGATTTAGTGTCAAGTCACAACACCCAAAATGAAGAAACTAGACTTAAAATCGAATCAAACAAATTCAGAGAGTTTTAGAAATTTGGTTACCGATTAATTTGAATACAAAAAACTGTTTAGCTTTCGATTTAATTTGATTATCTTATATAATTAATTGAATATATTTTAAGGCTAAAATAACTAATTTGATTTGAAATAGTTGAATTTTAATCGAATCAAACTAATTCAATTTTATTTTGAATCTGTTTTTATACTATTTGGTTCAAGTTTGCTTGTCATAAATATATTTGGATAAACTAAGTCTGGTTTAATTTGATTTGTTAACCAAATGTCCACACCTACCTAGGATTATACGGTGGGTTGAATTTAACTTTTAGTTGTATTTCGTCCTAATTGGATCAGGTTTGGGCAGATATCCGATGGTCGGGTCACATTATCAAAGTTAAGAAATTTAATTTTCGGGAGTTCCAACAGTACAATTGAACAGACAGAGGCGATGAAGAAGGTTGGTTTCAGTTCAACTTAATACAACCGCCACCGATGAGTAACAGTAACCCAATGTTGTCAGAACCAGACCGAACCGAAAATCGGCTCTGTCTAGTTCGATTATAATATTAGCTCAGATTTTGAGAAAAGAAAAATCTCATAAAACTGAATTGGACAGTTGATAAAAACTAGAAAAAAAACCGATTTTTTTAATAAAACTGAAAAAAAGGCTTTTTAAAGCTGAAAACCGAATTTCTTGATAAAAAGATGTTATTTTTATATGAATTTGACATGGTGTTTGTGTTTAAAAAGTTTAAATTTGAGATTTCAAATTGAATTGAATGATGTGATTTGAATCTATGAATGCTGAATTATTATTTGGCCTTAAGTTTGAGAATTATTAATTAAAATTTTTGTATTTATATATATTATTTATTATATATGATGAATGTTTCATGAGACTGATATATTATATATGTCAATTGATGTGAATAAATTTTGCACTTTATATATCTATTTATATACACTAAACATTAAAAAAAAAATAGAAACCCGGTCGATCAGACTTTGACCCAGTCATGGCTTCGGTTTGGTTACTGGCCCGGTTCTGATACATTGACAGTAACTGGAAGGAAAAAGAAAAAGGAACACAAAAAAATTAACAAACTTTGAAAGTGCCTCGTACTATTTTAACAATTTCCCATGTATGTTTAAATAAAATCCTAAATGTAAAGGTTGCCTAAGTAGAAGTTAGCAACCAGAGCGACACCTGGATGGATGTCGAAGAGACGTCAGCCACCCTGAACCAGCGCATCAAGGCAATTTTGATGCTCAGTTAGGCTTCGGCAGGCATAAAAAAGAAAGTAAACCAATGTTAGCTTAGCCAACCTTAAGACAATTTTGAGAACACAACACGGAGGAAATAAGCTACAGCACAAAAATTGTTGGACATATCACACAAATGCACATTTCCTGATGTACTTGGCTCTACTTGATAATGTGGTCACTACGTTTAATTTCACTTGATGCGATTCTAAACATAACACAACAGTATCCCCGGCGAGGGGGAAGGAGAGCACTTAGTCCTACTAATCGAACTGCTGTCTGAGTTGCATCTCAGTTTCACTTTTCCAAGTAGCATGAGATGACTGGCCTTTCATCCTCTTGCTCTTTTCCTTGTCTTTGACGGTAGACCCCTTCTTCTTCTGCTCTTTGCTTGTATCACTGGGTGGCCGATCACCACAAACTGGACAGACCATTCCACGTGCACTGGAGTAGGTCTTAGGTATTCCACATTGCAGGCACATCCTAACAATAAACAAAGACCAACAAGAATTAAGGGGTGAAGGCTTTTTGGATTTGTACCTTTCTTCAACAACCATTCCCTGCTAAAGAATGACCAATATTGCTAGTTGTATGGGCTAAAACAACCAGAATCCTGAACCACCTCCACCTTGAAAAGGACGATAACAATGTGCAGTCTGCACATTCAAGGTTTTGTTGAATCATGAACAGTAAAAGATATTGCGGGAAAAAGTTGGGAAACCGGTTCAGGTACATCTTTCAAGTTTTAGCAAATAAATCCCAATAAAAATAACAGAAGCTTGAAAGATTTAGCAAATAAATCCCCATAAAAAATAATAGAAGCTAAAACTTTTGCCATTCGCAAGACTGTTAATTAAGACCTAGCAAAAATTGCAGTTTACCGGACAATTCTAAATCATCAGCCTTAATACTTGATATTGGTAATAGTAGGCATAGCAAATGAGACAAATCAATAACCGGTATTTATCACTTCTAACCATGTTGGAAAGAAAAGAAAAACGGAAAAGTGTAGTACCTCAGAAGTTCTGCAGCATCTTCTGCATTGGGATTAGTCGCAGTTGGCGCACGCTTTGCTCCTTCTTGTGTTGTGCTTGGAACTGATGATGTTGGAGGTTGGTTAGCCTCCATGTCACTTCTTACCCGTTCATGGATCCCAACTAGTTGAGCTTTGGCCTCCACTACAACCCCTATGAATAATAGGCACATATAGAATACATATATTATCCAATAGAATAATATTACTAACAGATAAATATATGGTTGAATTATTTGAAAATATAAGGAAAACAAAATATGATAAAAGTGAGAAAATAATCGATATGCTACTACTTTTATTTATTGCCTCTTTTGTATCACCTAACACAGGTTACACAGCTATTCTAATCCAAACTGGGCCTATGTACTTTTTGTGCATAACATGCATGTAAAACAACTATTTTTTATGACAAAAAAAGGATACTAGAACACAACATGAAGTGTCCTCCAAGCCTAACACGTGGATAAAAACAGTAAAGATATTAAACATGCAGCGAGACCAATCACGTTAAATAGCAGTGAAATAGAGCACACAAGTGCATTATAAAACCTTATTTTAAAAAATGTCAGCATTCTTATCCATCCAAGTGCACAGTAACACCTTTTGGAAAAGCAAATATTCTGAAGAATTTTTTTTTTTATCCTTTCCGCTACTAGAATCTCTCCATTTTGAATCAACAAATGTCTATTCAAGATACGTCAAATTTTCAAATAAACAAAAAGGTCATACCAAATGGCCTATACCAATTAACAATATAAAGAATAAAAACAAGTGGGAATGAAACCCATTATGCTGGCAAGATACCAAACAAAAGCTCCTAACTTGAGTGACAACCTGAATTTATTTCCATTTTATTAACTAAGAGAAAAGAGTCCAAATATCAAATCCTTTTATTCAGCCTAGCTAACAAGCGAAAAAATAACAAAGAGTGCTTAAAATTACAGCTTGTTGTCCACTTTATAATGCTATATTAGCTGGGAAGGAGGAGGGAAGGAAGATCATTTACGGATAGGTATACAGAGTAATATTTGAGAATGTTGTCATTAAAAAAAATATGCTCAATAGTCCTTAAATTACTATCAGGGAAAAAGTTAAGAATATGAGAAACCAAAATTTTTTCTCATATTGAAAATCACTAACTAAAGTGTAATCAGTTTCTACAACAAGGGGCTGAAATCTAATCCAATCAAAATAGAAGATATAAATTTAGTAAGAATTCTATGTTATTGCAACTCAAGAAATAAATTAGTTTGCCATTACCCAACCGCAAAAACTAAAGTGCTTAGCTTTGAAAAAGATACTCAAATGTTTTCATCCAAATCCTCACAAGGAGTTTCAGAAACTATACTGAGAGACATCCAGTAAGTGCGCTGAGACACAAAAGTATAAGAATGGAAGTTCTTGAATACCAATAAACCAGACTTGCATGGATCCCAACACGAGAAACATAAATGGGAAATGGCTAGAAGATACAACACATCCAACAATACAAATATTAATTCTTCAGTTTTTGAATTGTAGAGAAAAATGAGAATAAAAAATTAGTAGTTATGACATTCAATCGCAAAATTCAACTGAACTAAGCTTGAACCTCACATTTTGGGGGGTCAATTTTGGGACTTTGGAGCTTGGTTTGGGCTATTAAAGAATTTAACTAAAATCGAATTTCAATTCTTATTCATACAATAAACAGGAAAATCCAACCATACCCATGTAAAAGCTGGACAATTTTCCTATCATTTTTTCCTTTTTCCATGCACAGAAGTAAAATAACATATCAGAAATTACCAGTAGGTAAGTCTTTCTTCTCCTTTCGATTCCTCCGTCGACCATGCCTCCCCAGCTGTTGCTCAACGTCTCTTACACTAGCCTGCTCTTCCACGCAATTATTAAGAAACTGCGGTGGTCCTGAAATCTCCAAAAACCATAACAGCCCAAACCAAAAGTTAGATGCCAATCTTCATCTAATACCCAAATTAAACAAAAGTTGAATCAAATTTTAAAACTAATTTTGAATTGGTTTAACCAATTAACAGAAACAGAAAATTAAGAATGATTACTTCGGAGAACGCGTCGAGTGCTGAGGGAAGGCCAGATGATCCATTGGACGGTGCGGATTGGTCGAAGACTGGTTTGTAGGAAAACGAACGGCGACCACCGTTGGCGGAGGAATTATCGTATCCGTCACCGTCCTCATCGTCAGAGGAGAACTGGTAACCCTCAGCTGGTGGTTCTTCTTCTTCAGCGGACGAGTAACCTTGGATTAGTGCCAAACTCATCTTTTCTGCGTCTAAGATTGGTTCAGTTCAAAACCAAAAGTCGATAGGATATTTTTATCGATTTGGTCTTGTGGAAGAGTCATGCTCGAACCGGTTTGATTAATAAATATGAAAAAGTTCAATGTTATTATCACGGATACGCAAAGTTCGATGCACTCAAATAAATAATTGGTTTTCTTAAAAAATAAATAAATAAATAAATTATTAGTTCGATGTCAGCTCTTAATAGAAATAACTAAAATATTTTTTAGATCGGTCCGGTTTTTATTAAATTTAAAAAATAAGTTAAACGGCTCAATTTCACCCTTAGGCCCTCAATTATAGCCCTGGGATGTCTAAAATTCAATTTATTATGAAAAATATAAAAATTTATTGTTTTTTTTAAACCAAGTTAATTAATAATATAAAAAATTACAAATACTTACATAGACCAGATATAGAGTTTCACTATTAATAACTAATAGAGTTATGATTTTTTAACAAACAAAAAAAGTCATATTCTTTTAAATAATAAAACTAAAAATAAAAAAATATAATATTAAATCTTTTCGTTTGTAGTTGATCTTGACAAAAAATATAAATCTTTATAGCAGCAATTAACCCCTTAAGTGATTTAAACAACAAAATAATAACTCTTCTTGATTTTTTATACCTAGATTGTTTTTTTTTTTTAAGAATTTGCAATATATGACAAACACTTATAAGTTCTTTGCTACTATGCGTCAATAACATCAATGGAGGAATCTGTCGCACTATTAGGCTCTATAAATTGAAGATTCACATATACAAATAGGGTTATAAATAAGTCAAGCTGAGCTATATTGAGCTCGAGCTTGGCTCAATAAGGATATACTTGTGCTCAAACTCAGCTTGAACTTGTTTCTTGAAAATCTAAGCTCGAGCTTGGCTCGTTTAATTTTTTAACAAACAAAAAAAGTCATATTCTTTTAAATAATAAAACTAAAAATAAAAAAATATAATATTAAATCTTTTCGTTTGTAGTTGATCTTGACAAAAAATATAAATCTTTATAGCAGCAATTAACCCCTTAAGTGATTTAAACAACAAAATAATAACTCTTCTTGATTTTTTATACCTAGATTGTTTTTTTTTTTTAAGAATTTGCAATATATGACAAACACTTATAAGTTCTTTGCTACTATGCGTCAATAACATCAATGGAGGAATCTGTCGCACTATTAGGCTCTATAAATTGAAGATTCACATATACAAATAGGGTTATAAATAAGTCAAGCTGAGCTATATTGAGCTCGAGCTTGGCTCAATAAGGATATACTTGTGCTCAAACTCAGCTTGAACTTGTTTCTTGAAAATCTAAGCTCGAGCTTGGCTCGTTTAAAAATTTCCAAGCTCGAGCTCGAAATTTACTAAACCAAAACAACGTCATTTTAGTGTAGGTTTAATTGGTATTGGCTTAGTGAGTTATATCGTGAGTTTGACTTGGCTCAATAAAGCTAGCTCGCGAAAGCTCGGCTTAGTAAAGCTGGCTTGTGAAGTAATGACCTGAGTTCAAGCTCGGCTTGTCTATTAAATGGGCTCAATAGCTTGACTCGATAAGCTTATTGAACGAGCTCGAGCGAGCTTTTGTCCACCAAGTCTCGAGTAGCCACAAATGACTTGTTTCATTTGCAATCCTACTTGCAAATCAAAGACCTAATGTCTCCAACCAAATAAAGTCATATATCATCTTTTATTAGTAATAAACTCTTACAAAAGAAGTGAAAAAAAACTTCAACAATGGAGATAAACCAATAATAACAAAAAAAAAAAAAAAAAAAAAATAATAACAAAAAAAAAAAAGAAAAAAAAAGACAAATCTAGTATAGGGAAAATACGGTATGAGTGATTATTTAAAGTGAGTAAAGAATTAAAAGTAAAAATAAGATGAAGCAAAGAATAAGAAATAGAGAAGGTAAGAGTTACCAACGGCTAGCGGCAAATCCTAAACTAAGAAACCTATAGGGAGTTAAAAAAAAAAAAAAAAAAAAAAGACAAATCTATTATAGGAAAAATAGGTATGAGTTTATTAAAGTGAGTAAAGAATTAAAAGTAAAAAAAGATGAAGCGAAAGAAAGAATAGAAGGTAGGAGTTACCGCTAGCGGCAATCCTAAACTAAAACTATAGAGTTAAGAAGACTAGAGAAAACATAGAGAAAGGAGAAGGACTGGATGATTATGTAATATAGTAAATTTAGTTTAATGTTATAATTAGCGGTGTGCATGGGTCGGGTTGGGATAAGAATTTACATAATTTTCAGTCTCATCCTAAAATATCGAACATAAAAAATGGAATGTCAATTCCGTCCCAATAGGTATGTAGTCTCGTCCTATTTTATCTCAAAATTTGAGACTGAATATGACATGACATAAATTCGGATCTATGGAACAAGACGGGATAGATCGTGTTGGGAATCAATAAAGATTTTTTCCGTAGTTTTACTAAATTATTTTTCATCAAAAGAAGATAAAATTACTATATTCATTAATTACAAGCAAACAAAATTCTTTTATATAAGTGTGAGTTAAAAAAAAAAGAATAAATCAAATAATTAATTTTCGCCATTGATAATTTACTACTAAAGTTATGATATAAGATTTTTAAGCAGTTACTTTAGACTTTAGTTAATGAGAGCATCAGATATAATAATACAAAATAATACAAAACTATATACAAATTAATTTTACATATATTTTATGAGTTTTAACTCATCATTATTTTTGTTACTGTTGTCTTTAAGCTGATTTAAATCTGATACTTGTTTAATTTAATTAGGAATATCATCTGAAAACTAAATCATGATAGCATTAAGAATAACCAATAATTCAGCAATCAGACTAATTAAAATTAATATTTTCTCTTGTATTAGTTAGTCTTTTCATTTTTTCTTTAATAGAAAAATTTTATTCAAAAGATTTACTAACGCATACTGTAAAATAACAGAGGAAAACTTACGTTGAAAAATATGTTTAATTAATTGATTCATTTTATATTTAGAAAATGCATATTATTATTATTTTTTATTATTATTACCTTAAAAATTAATTGGTATCATAAAAAACTAAAAACAAAAAAGATGAAATGATTTCATGGATATAATTTAAAATTTATAAAAAAACTAGAATTTTAAAGAAAAATAGAACGGACGTACACAAATTTTGGGATGAGATGGAAATGAAACTTCGATTGATACAAATCGATTTTAAATAAATAATCTCGCCTTATAATTACTTTCGGGATGAGATTCAGGAAGACACTATTAAATTAATATCGAATTTTTCTTGAGATGGAAGTTTTCGAAAATGAATAGGAAATCCTGCAGTCCTTGCAGACTCTTAGTTATAATAATAGATTTGCATGACATACGATTGACAAACTTGAATAAATTTACTTTTTCTCCTTTATTCCAACCAATTCCAGATTAAAAACTGCGTCCCATGAATAGGAGAGAGAAGAATACCTTATGAATTTGCCATTTTAAAGCTAAGAGAGAAAAACAAGATAAAAGATGGAGAGAATGTATTTATATGGAGATTCAAGAGAAAGGCGAACTGGATTGTCGAGATGGTAGCTAATTTTTTAATTTCGCGGTTGACAATCGAAGCAACTGGATACATCACATATTAAAAACTCGATTAGGCTACCAATAAAAAAGCGCAACGCAAATCTTCTCTTCCACGGCTGAAGAATTCGACCACTACTCAATCAAAGAAAAAAAAAGATTAAGGTCTGGATTTATCATTCAATAAAACAAAAAGATTAAACAAGGAAGAGGAAGGAAAATCGCAGAAAGATACGATATGTACAGGGACAAAGTTAGGATTTGTAAAAGAGGGGCAAACTACTATAAAAATTTATTAAGAGAATATTATGAAAAATAGGAGGGGTAAAATGGTTAAATATGTCTTAAAAATTTCTCGATTTTTATTCACCATATTGTTAATGAATTTTTTTTTTTTTTTTTTTTAAAAAAAAATTTTTTGTTTCTTTTTTAAAATTTTTTTTTTTTTTTTTTAAAAAAAAAGGAGGGGCGCAATCGTCACTCTCCTCCACAAGGTAGCTTGGTTTTGCATTTTTAATGGTTTACTAATGTCCATGTCAGATTTTCAGTTCAGTTTCACCCGTTGTTCCTCAAGTATAACATCTATTTCATCCCTCTTATTTGGAGAAATACGGACAATATTTCTACTTTACTTCAGTCCTTCTGTAAAAAAGTAAATTTTTTTTACCATTAATTGAAAATAAAAATAACTTAGTTCACCAAAATACATCAGAGTATCTAAGTTACATTCTAATTAAAATTTTATATCTCAATTGAGGGTAATAAACTCACTTTTGAATGAAAGAATCCAATAACGAGACAGGAACAAAAATTAAAGACAGTGTAATTACTTTTTGACAACAAAAAGGAAAAAGTGCTAATTATAAGATAATTTTAGATATCTAAATGTATTTTACACTTATAAAAAAAATAAAATAAAATTGAATCATGTCCAATCCATTCAATTCCATATACTATTCAATTAGGTTTGCAAGTCACTCCTAAGTAAAATATCAATCAGTAAAGCCATGGATTTTTTTTTTTTTTTTTTTTTTTAAAAAAAATTTTTTTTTTTTAAAAAAAAAGGTATAAGTATAATCAGCTTATTGTATTTCTTTTTTTTTTTTTTTTTTTTTTTAAAAAAAAAGGTATATATGAATCACTTATTGTATTTCTAAGGATAGTAATTGAATTGGGCATGACTTACAGGAAACCAATACCATAAAGTCAAAACTAATGGAAAAATACATTACTCAGTAATTATTAATAGAAAAAATACATTACTTTTGGGACAAAAATTTTGGGCATTATGTATTTTTAGTGCAAGTTTCATGAGTAAATTGTAGATAGTTAATTTTTGAGCAAATTGTATGTTATGAATAAGTTAGGGGCAAATTGAACCTTATTCCTTATTAATATATAATATTCTTGGTCTAAAGTACAATAATTTTAACAGACAACTATAAGAAAGAATTTTTTAAAAAAAAAGCACTTTTATATCACCAAATTTGGTGATATACAACCAGCCCAAGCATCTCTTAAATCCTCTCATTACATATGCTGTAAAAGTCATATATAAATAACCTACGAGTTGTGGCTCAATTGACAATGCAGGCCGTACATGTGAGAAAAGGTTTCGGGTTTGATCATCACTAAATGCGCATTTAGAGAGGGGCGAAGAGTCTTCACTGTGACTAAAACCAAGCTTGATTAGACAGTCCCTAGCAATAGGGTTCGAATACCAATAGTTTACACAAAAAAAAAAAAAAAAAAAAAAAAAAAAAAAAAAAAAAAGTCAGATATATAGAGGATATGCAATGGTAGCAAAAAAAAAAAAAAAAAAAAAAAAAGTCATATATAGATATGCAGTAGCAGCTCAACAACAAGCTCTTAAAAAATTATATTTACACATTATGGAGTATAAAAACATAACCTCATATACATTATGAGATAAGAGTTCTTGAAGTTTTATCAGTGTTTCAATCATCTGAAATTAACAGTTCACCAAAAGCTCTTCCTCCATCATTGCATGATTGATGAATTATCTATCAGCAGATCTGTAACCATAAGAAGCCACATTAGAATTCCAGAGGGAACTGAACAATTAAATTTCATGTGCTCCGCGTTTAAAGAACATGTCACCGGAAAGAAAACAGATCTTGTGCCGCATGCAAATTTTCTGATAATTGCCAAGTTCAAATTCATAATATGGATCATGAACCAGTTGCTTAATTCCTCAGAGTCCTCACATGGTTCTGAGTTTGCCATTTTCACCAATCCTTCCATGGAACATTAACAAATAAATAAGATTGCTAAAACAAACCTCTCATTGAGAGTTAGAGAATTGAAAGCATAGCCAGAAATCTTGTTGGATTCTCTATGCCTTGATGGTAAGGGTAAAGAATCTCTCCCGCGCTCCATCTAATAATAATAAAAAAAAGTGTAAAAGGGAAATAAAGAGATTGAAAGTAGCAAAAAATAAAAGCGGCTAAGGAAGTAAACAAACTCAAACCTGAGGAAGGATTGATCAAGTTGTTAGATCATAATTGCAACTGACGATCTCAGGGAGAGACAGAAACAGAGACAATCTGAAGACAAATAACCCAAACGACATAAAGGTACGTATATCAATAAGGAGGAGATAAAAAATCAAAGAGTATCGCAAAGATAAAACCCCAAAGATTTATACATACTCTTCGTCTGATGCAGCTTCCAAGAATTCCTTCAATTGTCCATGTGCCAAAAAGAGAAACATGATACATGTCATTTTGGTTTTAATAACTTTTACAAACCAGTTTTTTTATTATATACTGATAAGAGATAGAGACCCTTGATTCATTAGTTTTTAAGAAATGAAGATCTATAAACATTTAAATAGAAATATAGAGAACAAACAACGGGAGAAAGGAGGAAAAATAAACTCAACCCAACTTACTGTATTCAAGGGTAATTAAATTCTAAGAAATTCACATTGCCAGCAATATGTCATATTGCTTAATCAGAAAAATGAATACAGATAAAACATGAGGCAGGTAACTTTACCTCAACCTTTATAAATGAACAGCACAACTGCAGTGTTGGTTAGGTGGTAGGAACAACAAATTATCTTCAAGGCTCTCATGGTCTCATCAACAGCCAAAAAAGCAAGAATGGTAACTGATATGTACAGGACAATCTCAGGGTATTGTATGCTATTGGGGGGATTGACAGGTGAACGAGTTGAAATTCTACAAGAGGATGAACTTGCCCTCTTGGGAGACAACTGTCCTTGATGGGTTAGGCATCTTGAGGACAGTTAATGCCAAGAGTAACTGAGCATCCTTGAACCTGAGTGTGAAATGTCACCACAAAGTATCACAAGCCACTGCAAAGGCTGAGTTAAAATTAGCAATAAAATTTACCACAACCATGTTTTATGGGAAAAATCAACAAGATTATAGTCTCCCCTGAAACATGAACCATCTTTCAGCTTCACCACAAAATAACCTATCCTGCTGATACAAAGAACACAGAACTGCTCTGATATGGCTTTTTCTCCTCATTATTCATCATACTTCTTGACACTGCTGCTTAAATACCAGGAATGGTTAAACATTAGGCATCCTTACTGTCAGCATGATAAAAACTAGAGTCGATTTTAATGTCATTTTACATGGCAATCCAAGTCGCTCATTTCCCTTGTAATTGTACAAAGTGTAAGTTTAATCTCTTCCCAATCCATGTGAGATGTATCCCCAGCAAGAAATAAATGAACGTTGTCCTTCATTATAATCCAGCTGCAACCTGGACTCTTCTTTATTCTTTTGGATTTTTTCATCATTCTTACACGGTATCCATCCTTTTTTTCTCCAACAGTATTATACAAATCAGACAGGACTATATAAGAGGTTGCGCTATCAGGCACCATTTTGATAAGGTGTTGAGCTGCAAGCTTTGCTAGGTCAAGACGTAAGTGAATCCTGCTAGCACCTAGAAGAGCTCCCCAAACCCCATCATGAGGCTCGAAAGGCATTGAGTGGATTAAATCCATTGCTTCATCTAGAAATCCAGCTCGGCCAAGGAGATCAACCATGCATGCATAGTGATCCACCCCTGGTTCAATATTGTAGATAGATTTCATCAAACTAAAATATTCCCGTCCCTCTTCTACTAATCCCGCATGAGTGCAGCCTGATAGAATACCAAGAAAAGTGATTTCATTAGGCTGCAAACTTGTTTTCTGCATTTTGCTGAATAAGTTAAGAGCTTCTTCTCCATGCCCATTTTGGCTAAACCCAGTAATCATTGAGTTGAATGAAATAATATTGGGTGCATTAATACTTTCAAACATCCGGCAGGCTTCAGCAACATTTCCACATTTTGAGTACATTGAGACTAGTGAATTCTGGATAGATAAATCACACTGCAAGTCCATTTTCACTACATGTGCATGGATTTGCAAGCCTTGGTTTAGTGTTGCTAAACCAGCTGAAGCACTAAGCATACTACTCAAAGTTGGTGAGTTTGGCTTGACTGCTTTCTTCAGCATCTCAGTAAACCAACGAAAAGCCTCCTCATACTCTCCATTACTCACAAAACCTGAAATCATAGCAGTCCAAGCTACATCATCTTTCTCAGGCATCATTTTGAACAATTGGATGGCTTTCTGAATCTTCCCTTTGGCAGAAAATCCTGCAACCATAGTTGTCCATGAAATCACATCTTTTTCAGGCATCTTCTCGAAAAGTTTATAAGCTTCCTCCATTTCATCATGTTGAGTATAACCAGCAATAAGTGAATTCCAACAAACCACATTTCTTTTGCTCATCATCTGAAATATTTGATTTGCTTCATCCATACAGCCAAACCTACAATACATTGTGATGATAGAGTTACCCAAAAAGATGTCAAATTCAAATCCCATGTGTAAAAGCAGACCATGCACCTGAATTCCCTCTGAGTATCTTCCGAAATGACCACAGGCCTCAAACATTATAGTTAAGGCTGTAGGATTAACTTCAACAGCTCCTTCTCTTCTCATATTAGAAAACAAACTAAACCCATCATCAAAACACCCTGCATTCATATAACCATCAATCATAGCTGTCCAAGTAATGACATTTCTCACCTGCATTCTATCGAACAACCCTTTAGCCTCAACAATCCTTCCCTTCTTGCAATAACCATCAATCATAGAGCTCCAAGAAACAACATCTCTCTCCTCCATAAATTCAAAAACCTGAATTGCCTCTTCCAGTCTCCCGGCTTTCAACAATCCACTGATCATTGCATTGGAACACACCGGATCCCGCCACTTAACCGGCATTTCACCATACAATGCCTGCGCCCTATCAAACATCCCTGCCATGAGAAAACCAGTAATCATGGCCCCATAAGACACCGCGTTCTTCTTCTCCATTTGAGAAAACAACTTAAATGCCTCATCTACCATACAATTATTATCCCTTATATAAGCTGTGATCATAGCATTATACGAAGCAGTACTTCGTTCAGGCATTTCACCAAACAGTTTCTGTGCTTTTGCAATTTGGTCATTTTTAGCATACGCAGTAAGCATGGCAGTGTATGATATGATGTTCTTGTGCGGCATGCGACTGAATATCGACTCAGATTCTTTGATATCGCCACTGTTTCCATGTTTTGTAATCAGGGAATTGCAGTAAACAATAAGTTTGCTAAAATTCTTATCTTTTTTAACAAATTTTGAGAGGGATGTAAACAAGACAAAGGAACACTTACAGTGAGAGAGGGATTGGAAGTAAAGAGGGTTTATTCTTTTTGCTAGCATTGCTAACAATAGACTAAACCGAACACTTCAAAATTCGGCTACATAGGTGAATAAGGAGGAGGGAAAATATGGAGAAGCGAGAGTTTATTAACTTTTTATTTTATGACAAGTATTTATATATTAGATATAATTAGGATAATTACCATTAATATTAGTAATTGAATTATTATAATTTAATTAGCATATTTTTAAACAAAAATAAGCATTTGTATTAAACTCATCGTTTTGAATTGTAAAATAAATTTTTTTTTCAAAAATAATTAATGCAAGTTTTATGATGTATGAAGAATATGTATATCAGTGTAAAGAATCACACCTCAAATAAATAGATTAAAACTAAAATAAAAAATAGAATTTAAGGATTGTTATATTTCATATCAATTAAATTATGTAATCAGCATGTCTCAATAAATAAATTTACCCCTGCACTTTTCATAAAAAAATATTGCGGCACCTTTAATTTTTATTTTGACTTATTAAACACTTCAACTTATAAAATTGTACCTGTTAAATAATTTATCGACCGATTGAATAACTTAATTTATAAAATCAAATTGGTTGAACATTTATTGGAAAATTAAAAAATGTAAAAGTATTGTTCCAAAAATTGTATTAACTACATGTTAAATCAATATTTTGTATATAAAAGTAAAAAAATCTTAAAATTTACTATTTTTAGGTTAAGGAGGTAAAATTGTTACAATAAATAAAATTTAAGGTGCTATAAGGTCGATTTTATTGTTCAAGGCGCCATAAGGTTTTTGGGTCAAAGTTTAGAGGTTAATGATGTATTTCGCCAATCAGCATGGTCCAAATATAAACATAATTTCTGTTAATTTTTTATTTATTAAGTGACTTAATTGACTGAAAAAATACTATGGACTATATAAAATGGGTAGCCTTCCCTTTTCCTTTACTCATTAAATTAAAACTTCTCACTCTCCACATAAGTGAAAAGCCTAATCAAACCACTCCTGATTGATATTTCTTTTAATTTTTACCTGATAATATTAATATTTAGTAATGAAAAATATTTTGGTAAAAATTGTGATGTTAATTTTAAGTAATTATATATATTTTTTAATTTTATGTTTATGATTTATTATAAATAATTTTTTTATTTGAATTGTTGATAAATTATATTTATTTAGTGTAACGTGCGCTAAACATGTCGATATCTTACTTTTTTAAACATTATCGTATCATATGTCAATGTCGTGTCTTTATCTATCTATGCAACCTAGGGTAAAATTAAAGTCTATACACAAATTTCTAATTTTCTATCTAAGGGTTGGCATTGAATCAGTTTGATTAATTGAACTGAAACATCTCAAATTGATCTCAAATTGATTTCATACCGGAATTTTTAGATGCAATAAATTGAATTGGTTTAATTTAAGTATGTTCGGTTGGTTTAGATCCCATCTCCTTTGGTTTTTTCACGTTTTTTAAACCAAATTGAACCGACAATTTTATTGCTCATTTTTGCATTAACCAAAAATAAATGGGTTAGAAAAATATGAAATTAATTTGAACCAAAACGATTCAGTTCAGTTCGATTAAATCATTTATCCAACTCTAAATGGTTAAGTGGATGTTCTGGAACCGAAATCGGATCTCTCCCACGCCAATCAAAAATTTTCAATTTCTACCCAATTTTGGAATGACCTTGAATTTGTAAGTCTACTTTAATTATAGTGTTGTATTAATACTTTTGTGCCATAATATTTCTGGCAAAAAAAATTTCTAATTTTCTATTCATTAATTTATTAATAAATATTTTGCATTCCCTACGTAATAAGTAATAACTACTCCTTCTATCCCAAAATATAAGTCGTTTAAGGTTTTTACACAAAGATTAAGGAAGCAATTAATTCTCTTAGATTATAACAAACTTAAGGGTAATTTGATCAAATTATCTTTTATCTCAAAATCAATAATTGCTTGTGAAATATTTATTATATTTAGTGTAAATAAGGGCAACATTGAGAAAACATCATTTATTATTTATTAAAATACATAAAACGACTTATATTTTGAGACAAAATAAAATAAATCAAAGACGAGTTATATTTTGAGACAGATGGAGTATTCATTAAGCATTGAAAATTTGATAAAATACTATTAACGTTTAGAAAAAAAAAAAAAAAAGATAAATAAATCAAAGACGAGTTATATTTTGAGACAGATGGAGTATTCATTAAGCATTGAAAAATTTGATAAAATTACTATTAACGTTTAGAAAAAAAAAAAAAAAGATCAACAAATTCTGCAAACAAAAAAAAAAAAAAAAAAAGATCAACAAATTCTGCAAAATGAATGAATGAATAAATAAATAAAGACTTTTTTTTGTTACCTGTACTCATTTGGGTATGACACTATTTTATTTAGAAATTTGTATTTGCTCCTTATCATAAGTATTTCCTTTTTTTTTTTTTTTTTGAATTGAACCCCTTGCCATTGTAGAGATCGTTTGCTGAAACATGCAACATGATAAAAATGAACACAAGACACAAATAGGGTAAAAACGAATACAATCCATTTAAACTATATACGTGTCATCTATTTATGACATGAGTTTATTTAAACTCAACTTTAACACATTTAATTTTTATAGTAGACGAATTGTGTTCCGGTATTATAAACCGGTTTGACATTCTTATTAGTTGGCAATTACTTTATGGTCGGCCATTTATGAAAAATTCCTTAATAACATTGGAAAATGTAGACATCAATTAGTTGCATTAGAGTGCCAATTGTGTGTGGGACATATGCATAGTCTACTCTGCAGGTTGGTTCAAAATTGAGCAATTAAGGGTGGATCTAAAATTTAGGTTGGATCTAAAATCAATTGGGATGGTAGGGTGAGCATGTGACATCTTAGCTAAATCCCATATTGGCTAACATAAGGTGAAAGTGATGTATATAAAAATGAACAAGTCTTAGACTAGCAAGATGACTTTTGAATTATGAGATTGTTCTAGTTCAAGAATAAATTCGTACGAACTTAAATGAGTAGAGCGAATAATATCTTACTAGCGGCCAAAGATTTGAGTATTAGATTGCTAATTAAAAGTAATAAATAAGCTAGAGTTGTTAATAACTTCATTAAAGATTTAGGTACAAAATAGAAAGTCAGTGTTTTTTATTGATAGAGAAGCAAACTTCAATTTAACTCCTTAGTGAATTATTCTATATCTAATTTGGTGGATGTAGTTATATGCAAGATGAATCTAGTAAAATTTATGGTATCTTTAGTTATATTTATAACTATGAATGTTTTTAGCCGCATAAATGAAACCATTAAAATTATTATACTAATTGTTAATGTTAATTCATAATTTAGTAATATTCACAGAGATTTTTAAGGTATTAGTGCCAAAACACAAAACATTAAATGGATCCGTGGCGCAATGGTAGCGCGTCTGACTCCAGATCAGAAGGTTGCGTGTTCGATTCACGTCGATTTCAATTTTCTTTTTTTTTTTTTTTTAAATTTTTTAACCGTATTTCATTCTGGTTTTTTTTTTTTTTTTCAGATATTACCCTTCCATTTTATTCATTTAACCTTATTTTGCTTCTTCGATATTTATTTTTCAAATAAATCCCTACAGATTTTATATCTTATACATTATAGAAAAGAAAAACATGAACTGCATATTTATTTCAAATAGAAAAGGCACATATTATCATATATAGATAAAAAGATCACATACATAGATGATCTATTTGTAATAAGGTAACAAGTCCCATGAGGGGAACCCAAATGAGCTCTCTAAAACTCATTTTTTCTTTTTCTTTTTTTTTTTTATTTTTTTTATTTTATCGGTACTCATTTATTCTAACTCATCAGGGGATCTTTTTCTCCGCTTCTTACTGTACCCTGCAAAACTCAAAACCAAAACAAAAATCAAACACCTTCTAAATTATTATCAAACACAAATTATCTCATCATCTATTATTGGGTGTCATTCAGCAAAAGAAAATAACAAAAAAGAAAAGAAAAAGTCCTCAAGGAGAGGATGGGATCTAGGGGGAAAAAAAAAAAAAAAGGATTCTTGAATTCAAAATCGACTGAATCAAAATCGAAACCGAAATCTTAAAAGTCGATTTAATACTAATTTAAAACCTTAAAAATCTTAAATTGTCCTATTTTTTTTTTTATAACCGGAATGTTTATAATTCTAAAACCAGTAAAGTGTATTTCCTGAAATCGAATTTATGTTCTCAATCTACAGGGATTGAGGTCACCATTCAACTAAATCAACATGCTGTTGGTGTTTTTTTTTTTTTTTTTCTTTAATACTAAATTCAACATGCTGTTTCGGTGTTTTTTTTTTTTTTTATTTTCCTTTAATGTAATTAGTTTTTTTTTTTTTTTTTCCTTTAATGTAATAGAACTCAAAATTTTCTCTCTCTTTTCGTACGTCATATAACTTTAATTTTCTTATATATATAGTCTGAAAGCAAACCGTCCCATCTCAATATTACAGAACCTTTAAAATGAGAAAAGCAAATGTTAGATCATTCATGAACTTACTTGGAGCAATCAACGCTAGGGCTAATTTTGTAGGGAATGCTAACACCACATTTGCCAGGAAGACCAGCTGCAAGATTTAAGTCAATACCAGGAATGGAGTTTGAAGCACTTTTCAAACATTTGCAAGCCTGTTGGCGGTCAGCAGTGGTCTTAGCCGCCGCATTAAGGCTCCTAACGCCGCTGCAGCAGGCTGGAGGAGGCGCAGCTACGCCTTTCCTCAGATAGGGAATACATGCTGATACTGAACTTGCCACCTGCCCACATGTAATTGCAGCTTCGGCCAGAGGTGCACCCACCACCATGCACATCACCAACACACAAGCTAACTTAGTAGCCATTGAGCAAGCCATTATATATAAATTATGGCAAGTATTAAAGAAGGAAGAGAGTTTATGTATAAAGATACTTAGAATAGGAAGTTGGGTGAGTTGTGATGCTCTTAGGGATGGTGTTTATATAGGGCAAGGAAGTCCATGGAGATTTTTCTTTTTCTTTTCTTTTTTTTTTTTTAAGAATAATGTAGATGGCAATTTCACACGTCACTTTCCTATATTTAATTCATTATATCCTTAATTAGTTGGGAAATTTATGTACATCATGCTAAAAATAGCGAGAATTAAGAGTATATATATATATTTTTAAAAAAAGGAACAACTGAGTGTGTTAGTTACTTACCCGACTTCCGCTCGGGCCACCAGTCACGTGACTTCTAGACATCATGTATAACGGAATGTTATCGTAGAGGATCGAATCTGGATTAAGCAGGCAAATATCTTTATCACCTCGGATGGTAAGAGTTTATTGTTTCACTTTAGAACGTGTTTGGACGAGATGAGAAAAAATTTATTGAAGGTAAAGTAATATAAGGTATGGTAAAGTAAAATAATATATATTATTGAAGGTAGTAATATAATGGTTATGGTAAGTAAAATAAATATATAATATATATATATTATATATATATTATATATATATATATTAATGAAGGTATACATAAGTTTAGGAATATTTATATTATTTGACTTTGAATATGAAAAAAAAAAAAACCCTTCTTGTGAATTGGTTATTTGGTCAGAAGTAATTTTTTTTCCAAACTTTTTTTTCACCACCCAATCCCTTTAACTATTATAATTTTATCTTATGGTCCCTTATTCCTCCAAACCTTCAAAAAAGAAGCAACAATTTCATACCCAAAAACTTTAGTTAAAGAGAAAAGAAATCCATGACCGCTAGGTATGATACATAAGTTTAGGAATATTATATTATTTGATTTGAATATGAAAAAAAAAAAAAACCCTTCTTGTGAAAATTGTTATTTGGTCAGAAGTATTTTTTTTCAAACTTTTTTTTCAAACAATCTTAACTATTTAATTTTATCTTATGTTATTCTCAAACCTTCAAAAAAAGAAGCAACAATTTTCATACCCAAAACTTTTAGTTAAAGTAGAAAGAATCATGACCGCTCCATCTCAATCAACCAACATCGGTAGATAATCTCTAATTTGTTTTTTTTTTTTTTTATTATTATTAACAATTATTTTTATGATTTTTTTAAAAAGGGAATTCATTTATTTGATTGTAGTTAGAGTAATTCTTGAAGTATATTAGAAAAATATTAACTCAAATTTATTGCTTTTATTATCTTAATAGCCATATGCTTTGGATCCATGTAAAAATAAAAATAAATTTATTAATTGTAAAATACAGACTAGATATTATTCAAAATTATTAAAAAATTATTTCTAATGTGTGGTTGTGCACATGCGATTTATTCCAATCAACCAAAAGATCTACACGTGGCATTCAACAATAATTAACCTATAAAAAGGATGTGACGTTCAAAAAATAAAAACAACAAGGCCTTAATTTGTTCATTCACTTTCTTTTGTGGTGAACTGGCTAGTACTTAACCCCTTTATTTTACAAAAATTTTAATTTTAATTTTTTTTAGAAATATAATAAAAATAAAAAATTTTGATTCAATTAATTAAATTGTAACTTAATTATCAATTCGGTTGGATCTCCCCTATGATTCCAAAACATTTAAATAAGAAGATAGAAACAGAAATCTAATTTCATTCCCATTCTTGAATAAGAAATTGATCTTCCACCCCTTAATTATTTGTCTTTTTTTTTATATCACATATGTCCTTAACAATGAAAAGCTACCTTAAAGAGAGGGCAGGCAGGTCGGCAATTGTCTCCCTTCTCTTTAAAAAAGAAATCAAGAATAGCTCACTTCGGCTTTCGGCTACCATTGTTCCATAAAATATAACATACTTTCATTACTTTGTCCCTTCTAATTAATATATTCAAGTATTTTTCCTTTTTGATTTTAATCCTTAGCTTCATTATCTGGTCTTTAGTCTATTGAATTAGGTCTAATTCTATTGGTACTATAACAAAAAAGCATTTTTAGAGAAAATTTTCTTCATTTATAAAGACGAAAAACTCAAATTTTTATTTAAAAGATCTAGAATATCATTTCAATTGAGATGATCGCAGGTATTGATTTTTAATTAGTCGGTTTTAATAAATGATGGGTGCTTTCATATTTAGAAGACAGTTAGGGACCTTGAAATTAAATACTACAAGTGTAAATGACAAACCAATAAAAAGGTAGATTGATAAGCACCTCTCAATGGAGACAGTTGTACAATTGTACTGCCAAAAATTCAATGTTAGTAATGAGATAAAAACGATGGATAACCACCAAAATGTTTGGATTCTATATTTTCTTTACGAGTGTCGGACTGTCCTTTTTTTTATATAAAAAAAATTGGAATATTAGGATTTATTATTAAAAAATCGATAAAACTAGTATGTGAATCAAATCACACTTTAAGCTGTTTTTATTAACAAATCAGCAACTAAATAAGAAGAGTCTATTCGGTAAAATTAATTATTTTGACGGTGGTTATCTATAACTACATAAGAAGAGTATTATTTGATAAAATTAGTTGTTTTGATAGTTGTTGTCTATATCAATCTATCTGTTTAAAAATAATATTTTATTTATTAAATTGGATACGATTTAAAATTAAGGTGCTATTATAATCAAAATTAAAATTCAAGATACTAGAAGAGGAAAATTAGATTTATAAATACAGTTAAAACTACTCGCTAAGTTTAGAATTTAATAATAATTTAGCCAGTTATAAAAAGGTAAAAATAAAGAAAAACTAATTTTATAGATGCACAATTATCTAATTGAAAAAATAGATCAATAATAGCACAAAATTTTATACATCATATGATATATATTTTGAATTAACATTAAAAAATAATAGTAATTTTTTTTTTTTTGGTATATCTAATGACTTTTTTGAATTAAAATTAGAGTTAATGATTAATTATATATATTAATAGGGTGAAAAGTTCAACTTTAAAGTTTGAAGCGGTCTCGGTGGAGGAGATTGAATCAAATAATTGTATCCTTTTGTTCTTTACGGGGAAATTAATTGTTAACTGTTTTAATTGCATTTAACGGTTAGTTGTTTGAGTAAATTTTTATAAAATATTACTAAAGTTAATTTTTATAAAAAAAATGTCGTATTAATCTCGAAAAATTAATTCAAATATTATATTATCAAATACTATAAAAAATAATATTTAATAAATTGACTAATTAAAATATCAAAATCTATTTAAAAAGTCTCACTGAATACATCACAAGCTGGATAAATCTGAGTAGTACAGGGAAGAGTAGCTTTTATTTCCTTGAAGTAGTACAGGGAATAGAAGAAGAAAAAGTCAATTTGATGATCTTTTCCTTGAATTATGGTGATATTTGGTTGATAGTGAGTAGCACAGGGAAGTGTAGCTTCTGGAAAGTGCAAAATGGTTGTATTTGATTTATATTATCAATTCTAGAAAGTAGATCCTTCAATTTTTCTTCTACAAAAAAAGTAGTGTTCTCAGGACGTTGTACTTCCTTAGTTAAATATAATGAATTTACTAATTTATCATTCTATCTAAACACGCTTAAAATTATGTTATGAACATTATTATCTTTTATAATTTCAGAGCAATTTACTTCCCAACAGTGACAGCTTGGATCTTTTCATAGGAGCCAAAATATATTTATCGTTTCATACAACGAACAACAAATGTATATTTTAGCATTTTTCATTAATAAACAATTTTTTGTATGGAATAATTCCAATTTTTGAGAGTTTTATATTTTTGTTTAGCAACCTTACTATTTCTACATTGCACTTACTGTAACATATGAATTTTACATGATAAGTCTCCTTTATGAGTTTAGTAGAGGATTAATAACTAAATTGTTATAGGTTTAATTCTCTCTCTCTCTCTCTCTCTCTCTCTCTCTCTTTTATATTTTTTTTCTTTTACTCAAGTTTTTATTGATGAATTTTGTCTGATAGTAACTAATCAAAATTTATCTTATTTTTTTTTTTTAAAAAATAATAATTTAATAAAAATATATGAAATTCCCCATATTCCCACCAAATATGGCAAGGACATGTTGAATGATCTAAAGCTGGATAATAACTCAGAAGAGGAGAAGATCTTTTGACCTTATATGATCTCTTTGATGACAAGACCTTCAAAATAAGTTGGTCTGAAATGTATATACATATTTGAATAAGTTCCATACATAAAAGTAAACGAAAATAGAAAGCACTCAGGATTTACTTACAGAGGAAAAACAATACAATACAAACATTAAAACTTGCGAACGTCCGGATACTGCTTCAACACTTCCCTCATTATATCTATTGCACAACAGTGCTTTTTCATCTCAAAGTCATCACGGGCCATGAATTGACCCCAGATGCTGGCAACAAAGGCCGTGCTACGGGGACCCATCTCGCTGCTGAAAATGCTTCATTAAGACGTGCAGCGCGACTCATGAACTGGGAAACCTTCTGCAGATGGAGATTAGAAATAGAACTCAACATTTATATAGAAATCAGAAATCAAAATCAAACCAAAGCTCGACAATCATGTCCTCTTTCAACTTTTGTAAAACAGTTTCTGAATTCCCATAAAGTAAGGTAATTTGCAATAGAGAGAAAATGTTGTTGCATTAAGTTTGAAGAGAACAGACCATGTCTGCTCAGATTATAACTTGGGAACAAACAGAACCGAAAAAATCCTTACTGCCTGCGAAACCTATATACAAGTCTCAAAACTATTTTAATTAAGAGCATAATTGACAAAGAATGTGATTGCAAAACCAGAAATAATCTTTCAAACAGAAGTTTGTGATGTGCAGGCGCATAAAGACAGCAAATATATACAGGATATGGGAATTCACACTTGTTTCTCTTCTAAAGGCTAATAATGGAAAGAAAAATCTTGAAATAACAGCTTGAGAGGATTCAACTAACATCCCTTGTGTTCTATGAGGACAACCTAATCTCCATCAGTTGCAAGTGCAAATACAAAATGACGAAATAGGTTAAAAACAAACATTTTGA